GCCTAAATTGCAAGAACCTTTGGCCTAAATATGCTCGGCCACATTTTCAGCCAGTGCTCCATTTCTCAACCGGGAACTCTTTCACCGCTACAATCCTGCGAAGCAGTCACTCATCCCGATAGTGTTCGGACGACTCAACACCATAGAGGAAACATGCAGGACACCTTTAGTAAGCTCCTGCGTGCAATGTAGTGGCGAAGTACAAGAACTTCGGACGCAAGTCGCAATCAGGCGATAAGCGAGGCTTTACGCGACGCATCCTCTTCACTTAAAGAGCACCCACTAGTGTTTTGGTTCTTCGAAAACGCAACAGAATGGAGCTGGGCAAAGGAACGAGCGACCACGTACCATCACAATTGAGCTAAATTAGCTTGTAACAAAAATGAAGAAGATGAGCTCATCATTCTATTCGTGGAAAGCAATGGCTGATAACGTTTTCTAGAAAATCTCGCTTGCAACTGCTTACCTAATGTGAGCGATTCCAAGCGCATTCAAACGGTGCCGCAATGCCCACCTAGATTAGTATTTTTGGTCTGCCATATTTGTCACCCATTGTACGCCATTGTAGCTAGCCTGTCTTACCGTCCTATGCAATAAGCTATTCTGCTTTAGAAGGAAATAATGTCTTGTATTAGCTAGCCTATCTTACTTAGCCTTGCCTTGAAGAAACTTCCATAACCGAACAATTTTCCCATAAAGAGGTGTTGTTTCTTTGAAGAGTTTAGTTAGACAGTTGAATGCCGGACGATATGCTATTACTGGGAGCACAAAAAGAACCTCCCTTGAATTTTGACATCTATTAGTAACGTCGTCGGAAGCTCTTACCAATATTTAAATGAGGACACGTACGAAGACAGGTCTGCTTCGGTTGTGGATAAACCGAAAATATTTCCATGTATATTATCGTTATCCAGATTCGAAAGTTAAAACTTGATTGGCGGGGTTTTTGCGGGCCTCCTAGCAAGCACCTATTGGCGATATAATAACTGTTGCATTTGTTGGACAACCTCTGTAGTAATTACGGCACATACGTTTATATTATAATGATGCCGATCGCCTATTCTGTACATATACTAAAAATGAGTAGCATGATGACTTGTTAGATGGATGTTTTTTAAAGGCCTGCCGCTACAGTTACTGGAGTGATAAATGCTTACGATTTCCCGCAATATACAATGTATTTAAGGGCTTTTCGAACGACACAAAACTTATCGTAATGTTAAAGAATAATTGTTGGAAATAACCAGATACACGCTGGAGACAAGCATGCGGATCTGTCTTTTGATTCTTTCACTGGGTCGCTTTGTCAGACACGTACTTACTCCGTATCCCCATTATCTTTACCTGCCAGAAAACTGATATATCTTATAATAACGGCAGCAAGACTAGTTACACGAGACGTTTCATCAAATTAAGCGATGGATTTAATCACATTTCGAGTCTGTTTCGTCGGTAAATTCTGATCCGTTGATAATAGGTATAAAATCGAACCCTTCTCTTTTGATGACGTTAATAGTAGTCAAATAAAAAAAATGCTAAAAACATCATTCTTCTTTTTTATTTTTTAGATTTGAAATAGATGTAAGTCAACACAGTAGTAGGGCCTTTGTTCTGTCTATTCAACATAGGTTAGCATGTAAATAGTATTGGAGGTTCAATAGATTAACTTTAACAAAATGAATTATTTTTATTAGCTTCATTTTAACGTTAACAACCTCGCGACAATACTCTTTCCAGTAAAAGAATGACGATTAAATCGCGTGAGATGTCAGAATCATTAAATCAGCCTATATTAAGAACTCCATCAATTTAATAGATTACCTTTATTTGACGCTTCTCAGAATTGAATCGGCGGGTTCAGTCCAGAGGTTTTGAAAGTAGCCAGTTTTCAAAAACAATGCAAATTAAGCATGAAATACCCAACTACTTTAGCAAGCTCACATTCGAATAAAACAATACCTATTAAGGGTTGCGATCCTTCAATAGTTTTAATCATGCAAATTTTAAAAACTAAATCCTACGTATATTAGTGTATTCTTTTTCATGACAGCCATTACTAAATCATATCTGTAAACTAGTCAAAACCGTAAGATCATAACCCCTTCGGAAACGAAGCCCAGCAGATTGAATTGGAAAGAGTGAGAAAAGGATATAGCACTTTTCGCGTCAAGATTCAACCTAGTAGAAGAACGTACATTGGCAAATATAGCTTACCTTGCATCGGGATTAATGCAATGCCTCTTGCGGATCTCGTCCTAACGTCATCTAGAAGTCTTGCGAAATTCGATGACGTCAAATCAAGACACGTTACGAATGCAAATAGGTAGGTTTTATGCGGAACTTAAGAAGTGCTCAGAGTTTATTTAGACCCAACCGAAAGTGGAATCATGCTTTTTCATTCAAGCTGGCAGCTGGACAGAGTGCACAAAGGGCCACGTATTTATAGCACATCAAGCTATAGGTACATTCTCTACCTATCTGGATACGAATCTGGCTGAATCATAAAACAGATATAGTTTACACAAATATATGTGTGTTTGTAGATCCTCAGGTGCGGATATTCACTATAGGACAATAACATGAATCATGATTGCACAGCTGTGGCAGGCGCCTCGGACACTATATACTAGGGAAAAAAGAATAGTAATGAAAATAAGCGGGATTTGATCTATGACTTGGTTAAACTGACTTGGTTTTCACAATCCAATGTGTTATTTAGTATTTGTGCCATACCTTCGACGTTGCCGTGAAAGAACCTTCTATGTCCACTTGTGTTTGAGAAATCGTGAAGCGAAACAACTTAAGCCTGAAAATAAGAAAATTGGCCTATCGATTTCTCTGAAGAAAGCCATATCGTGACAATAGCAATTCCAAAGCCAAATAAGGCCTGTGGATCAAAGCAAACTAAGTTTAAATTGATATGCAGATGAGTAGCCCGCCAATTTTAAAGTACTCATTGTTCAGTTGTTTAAACAATTTCATAATGGCTTAAATAATAAATAGCAATATTATGAAAGTCAAACGTATAAATAATGGGTATGAAGAAAACTTACTACTAATAAGATGGCCAACATTTCCAACGCTTCCAGAAAATCTTCTTTTCTACTGAACTCCATAGCCTAGGCCACATTAAGCTATGAAGGCCAAAGGTAACTAGGAAAATATGTTTTTCGATTATCGGGCTTTCGACAATCCGATTCAACAATGCATGCAGTGACCTGTAGATGCTGTTGGAGCTCACGTCTGACAACAACAACAAACCTAATATGGTTATATGATAATAATCAACTGGACTACGAAAGGCTCACTATCCTGTAGAGCCTTTATGGTAAAACTATGTGGGGCTTCTATTTGTCAGTATCTGCGTTTCTCGAGAAGGTACAGTTCCGACACAACTGACTTCACTTACTTGAACCGGACCCAATTTTGAGAATCACTATTGACCACGTAACAGCCAAAGGCATTTCTCTGTTTCGCTTATCTGATCGAACTGTATATGCGTGTATAGAGCCCGATAATCATTCATCCAATATACATTTGTTCACGAATGCCAATAAACACACCTAGCTGGGCCACAACAAACTAAATGTAGTACTTTCTTTACAGATTACGGATCGCTACCTAGCCATGTCCTTCGCGCCCGCAATGTATGATATGTATACGTATGATATTTTTGAAATTAAGAAGCTTTTTGCGTCACTGTACAACGGTTACCAGTGTATGTTATTTATTAATTTTTATGCTTAATACATTTGCGTCCTTTGTTTTCATTAAGCGCATCCTTACTTTGTTTATGCTGCGCGTAGCTTGAGAAAAACGTCTTCTCTCTCAGACGTTGCAGAGACGATAGTCTGAATAACTGCCTTTGTCATAGGACATATACATGCTTTCCCGAAGTTACATTGTTTGTTTCTACTGGAAGTGTCTTAGCGGTGACTGAATCATTGTAACAGGAACATCGTGGCCCAATGCGGAACAAAAGGGCAATAATAGAGTGTTTTTCTCAGTTCAGCACCTTGTAGAAAAAAAACATTTAAGACGTCCCCAAGCTACTATCTAAGAAGACAAACATGACCTTCGCCTTAATTTGACAATAACACATGCATTACTAATAAAGGTTTAGGCCTCGCTTAGACAACGGAGGTCATTGCAACATGTTCCAAACGCTAAAAGTGTAAAATAAATAAATTATTGCCCCCGTCATTTGTGTATTAGATGACGAGCTCGTTTCGTGGACACATTTTGAGAATTTATAAAATCGGGCCGTAAACACTGAAAAAAGTGCATCGTAAAGCTATTAGTCCATCTACAAGACGTCATTCAGATTTCACGGACAACAGTACCGTTGCTACAAGCTGTTGCAGTTTTAACGATATGGTCGGATTTACAGAAGGTTTAGAGTGTGTGTGTGTATTAGAGAGAGACTTTGACCTGAATATCTTTTGTTCAGCTGAACTAATAAAACTTCTTGTGAATAATACCTTTAATGGCAAGTCAAATATGATTATCTCAACAGAAAATACACTATTATTGATTTACTACTCGACTGTGTTTATTTCAATGTTTTTTGTAAGTGGAATGTACATGTGTCCGATCCCCTGAAGCTAATAATATATAGCTACCAGACGCGTGTGTTTCCAAACTTATATCTTAAACGAAATATTAACATAATTCAAATAAGCTTATTTCCTATTAGATGTATTTATAAGATTACTACATGAGCAAGTAGACGTAGTAGTCGTCTCGGGCCACGTTTAATATTCAAATGAAGAGTTACATACGCTATAGTCGCCCGATGATACCTTATCATCATTTCGTTAAAACAAGGAATTATGCTTACACTTTTTTTTTTACTAAAAACACATTAATGAAAGCAACAAAAAATAATTCCACGGGAAAAGGGAAAAATATTTCATTCATTGTTGGCATGTTGTGAAATTTAATAGAATTTAATATAGTATAAATCATTGACAGTTAACTTTTGTCTCTCGTAATTTCAGCAATGACTTTGAGGCAGATTATCAAGGCGACGCTCCGATTTCCCACCAGCAGGAACAAAGTCCGAATTATGCTAAAACGCACAGACTCGCTTTTCTCGATAAAGTGCTCGAGGGCTACGATAAACGCGCATGGCCCACATATGGCGAGAGTAAGTAAATAAATGGTACCTATATAAATTTTGACTCTTTAATTTCTGTTGTTTTTTTTGAAAGTACCTGATGATAGGCCACCTCTTATGTGCATTAGTTAATGACAAATATTCCACTAAAATAATAAGTTTTAACGTCGATCAACATGTTACCCCTTATGAAGACGATATACTTTACAAAAAAGAGCGTATATCTGCCAGAGTTCTGCTGTTATAAATTACAGAAATGATGAAAAAAAAGGGTACAGCTACCGTCTGCCCCAAGTAGGAGACGATTCATTATATAAATCCTAACTGGATCTGTTCATTCACACCCAACATAATTTATTGAATTACTGATAACCTTAATAATTCAAATATTTCGGTTTAAGTTCATCATGCGCATAACGTTGCCGATGAAACAACGCAAATGATGGCTAAAACATTCAAACCATTTCCATTTTTTCCAACTCGAATTACGTCTGGATTCTTTATTGACATGGTATTAGTCGATGCACGCGCACAAAAATTTAATTTTTTATAAATAGTTATCGAAGAACAGACGTTTAATGAGAACGCAAGTAAATATCAATCTTTAATTCGATGATGCTTCACAGATCTTTAACGTTTCAATGGCATCAGAGGAGCGCTAACTGAGAATAGAACTATGATAGTAGAGTGTAGCCTGTACGCTAATATGGCCCACAATACTTCAATAACCTGCTTCTAGCACTAGAGCGCGAAACTGGTTCATCCCTTTTATCGATTCGATCAATATAAGGATTATAGTTATAGAAAAGACTACCCCTTGGCTACGATAGCATACTTAATAAATTTAGTCGACGCATATTCTCATAAATCGGCAGCTCGAAATACGAATCCTACAAATCATCACGCCGGTACTGAACGAACTATCTCACAACAAAGATACATATAAAATTCTAAGCCCGATCTAAAATCACCCGAAAACTAAGAACATCACAGTTTTTTAATAGAATATTGACGAAAATGGTTTTCGAAAGCTGTGCTATTCGACCTCTTTTCTAGCTCGGTCTTCAACTCTTAACGCTACATAGAAACGTCTTGTTAACGCGATGTATTGATATGGTAGGTCAAACCCCTAATTGATTTTCACATTAAACGATACACTGTTATTATTCAAAGACAGGTTTTTTTGTTGATCATATTACTAGTCAGCTATTGCGTGGCGATTTCGGTCAAAAACGTTTCTAGCATTCTATATATGAAATACCGGCCAGTGCTAATATATGCATTCTATATTGTCTACGAAGTGAACTTAGATTCAATCTCGGCTTTGGTTCCATCATGTTCCACTTACGGTTAAATATCTTATAGGTACATATGGTTTTAACTAAGACCTATGTATCGGGCATGGTGCAACTCAAACGATCCGGCAAACCGAACCTTTCATACCAAATCCAAATAAAATACAATATACTGACAAAGTAGGACTGCTACATCTTACATAAAGAATTTTTCACTATATGCCTATGTCATATAAAGCGAATATTCTTCCAGGTGTAAGTGTTGCTATATACACTACACGGGACAATAGAGCTAGCAATCGTGGAGGGAAATAACAATGAGATATTGCCAACTGCATTAGAATATACTGGGGCAGGTCGATGTCCGCCTTACAGAATATTCATAAGGTTTCATTCCATTAAAAGAAGTGCTCGAAAATACTTGCAACTGATGAATGTCTTCACACTAGAAAAATCAGCTATCGACTTCCGATCTGATTTTACACACGGTATCGGTGGGATCATCGCTTAACTGTGGTTACGGTACACTTCTTTGCTGCGCAATTCGTTTCCATGAACGCCATATGGCTATTTTTCATATCGGTTTCAACTGTGGCCAGCGTGCCTCATGAGCACCAAGTATTAACCGACAAAGTTATAGAACTTCGAAAGCATTTACAACTAAAGCGATAGAAGCAATCTATCGTTTTATTGCTATTCTACAGCTATTTTTCTCGTGTCAGCAAAGGTAGCGAGTAGTTTTCACTATGTCGATAAAACAGGATATTGGCCTGAATATTTCGGAGCTATTGTAATGAAAAAACAATTTCTTTTCGGGCGGCAGGCCCAAGTCACGGTAAAGGTCATCTATCGTTATATCGGAATGAACTTGTCCTGAACATCGTGTTCAATTCAAGTGTATACGCTTCAACCGTAAATAACGAATCTAGGTTTTTATAGATAATTCAATTGCGTTCACACATCCCGAAAAGTTCATTCCTAAAAACAAATAAGATCGTAACAGCACATGGGTTTTGAAAGCGCCGCGCGAGCTACTTTAGCTATAATTTTCCTCCCTTTAGAGTCCCATAAGAACATGCGTCGAATTTCTTCTTCTTTTATACAGACAACCTACGTAAATTCAGTATGAACTATGTGGAATCGGTTGAAATTATTCGACGTCTATACGCAACAGCATTTCAACTCGGAATTCTGCTTAAAGCTCGTGTTCTGCGAAATTGAGAATTATTTTTTGCCTATTTTCACCTAATGCTTTCGCTCAATCTTGTGAAATAATCATACGAATCCTAAAATACATTCTAGGGTAATTGTGCGATGGTTGCATGGACGAAGATATATTTTATAGGAAAATAAGGGATCTTGAATTGAATTTAAAAACTGAATCGCAGCTACGATAATAATCAGCGCTAAAAAGTAGATGAAATAAAAAATATGGCATCTGCATTCACAATACATCTACTATCTTTGTTATTATTTGCCATCGCGACATAATTGTAACGGTGATGACGGCACTTTTAGGCAGACTTTAGGGGAAACAATAAAAATGAAACCAGCTGCCGAGCAGTCATCGAAATGCGAGCTATATAATAGAAGAACAATCTGTATTGTATATACTAGCAGCGTAAACTAACCGACTTTGAGGCGATTCGCAGAGCAAGATTAGTTATCTCTGAAAAGCCTTCATTTAAATTCTAAAAATAACTAAATGTATTCGATCCGCACGCAAACAATTCCCAAGAACAGTGTTATATCGAAAACATGCCGGTCATATAGACCACGCGCTCGAATAATCACAAAATCGATTCTGTTAAATCGATTTATGGTATATCTCTCTAAAAGGATGATACGCGTGGGATGAGAAGCCAAGACCTTCGATATCGATAGAGTAATCATTCTAAAGAGGCTTATCGTCGGGCACTGTAACAGAGTTAATTGTAAAAAGTTTAGTTTTTTGAGAGAATTTCATGACGCTCAGTGTCTATAGAATCGCTCAAGTAATCATCTTTGCAGTATCCGTATAAAAGCCAATAATGGGTAACATTTCTCAGCTGCAACTATTAACTATACGTTTTATCTTTGGTATCTTATTTGATACTATACACATCTACGGTGTCTTATAAAAGAGACACGATTTATATATGTGTTCTAATTCATTCATTGGAAAATTATGTTGTGGAATATTTTTATAGCAGCAAACTAAGCCTTTGTGCTTACATTAATTACCGTTTAAATCTTCTGTTTTGTTCCAAATTGATACAACAACTTCGTTCTTTTCCGTCTGTACTTTATCTATCTCAAATAATACAGAAAAAAATAATAATAATTAAAATTTTTCTGTACCGCTTGTGCAATACGGGAGTTTCGTTCTATAAAAAAAAGTCTATCATAACAGTGAAACGACCATTTGACTTCCTGCAACAGGAAATTAATCTGCCAAAAGTAGGAAAACAATCAATTTCACAACTTCGAATCAAATTTTTGGCACAGAAGTATTAATAGATGACTCTATTAAAGGTCGCCGAGACTTTTATTCTCTTAGTATCTATCAAGTAACCGATATCTTCCTATATTCTGCATGATAGTCAACGACTACCATCTACATTGAACGAACGTGTGTTTTCTGTGATGTGGACGCCAATTATTTTTTTAAGGTAAACATTTTCTCACTTCTCTATTCGTTCCAAGAGACATCTAGGCTTCTTAAATGCATTGATGTACAAGCAATTAAAATTTTTATCACCGTAGTTCCGTTGAGTGGGCCTGACGAATAGACCCAGTTGGGCCTTCCAGTTAGCTGAACCGGCAGCCTTGTATAAAGGACACGTTGGATTCAAAAATTATCATACCTATAGTGTACCACTTGCGTAGCAGGTTCTTCGATCAAGATTTATTTGTAGGCTGCATGTTTTTCTGTAGTATAGCAAGGTCGGCAAAACGCTGTTGTGAATATCCCTGGAACGTATAATTGATATCCCACGGCGAATGGCAGCGGGAGAATAGATATCTTGTCCTCTGTTGTAATGATTATTACTATTACATTATTCAATGTCATGCGCAAAGCTGCTGCTGGCGCGGAGTGATTCTGGGTTAAATATGTTCCGCTTCCTCTTCGTGTGCGGCGTATTAGATAGATAAGCATAACATAACAACCGATTGGTCTTAAATTGTGCCGTATTATTTATGGGCTTTAGCCCAATCATGTAACTCGTCATAATCAGAAACTAATTCTCACTGTTTTCTTCGGTCGTTTTCCGTTGCTTGTGTCGTCTATTTGCTTTTTATTTAGATCGCCCCACTGAAGTAAAAGTAAACATTCACGTCAACAGCATTGGACCCATCGTTGCCGCTAATATGGTAAGTCGTAGCCACCTTTGGTAACGTGCGAATGAATGCCATATGTATTATAGATGGGTTAGGAGTCTAAATGATATATCAAACGTCATATGGTTATGCAAGTGCGCGAAAAAATTATCATTACCTCACAATTGTAACTAGAATTTCTAGAAGAAATAATGCTACCTGCTGAGTGTATAAAATTTTAGTTGCATGAGCGAAATCGATCATTGATCGGCAAGCAAAGTAAAACTTAACTAATTGCTTGGTTTCCACCACAATTCAATGATTCTATTTGGAAAATATTAGTTAGGCGTATCGTTTATTCCTATAGAAAAACGTAGAGTTACAAAAAATAGGCAAGCTAGACACCCGCAGTGATGCTAAGTCGTGTCAGCACACACTGAAAAACGGGAGCCTGTTCAAGTGGACGAGTCGTGCATGCTGTTACGACATCATTATCGTGATGTTTAAACACCACTATTATTCTATATGCTGGCGATGTTAAAAACTAAGCGGCAACTAAGCATAAATATAAATTATTTTTCCTAGCCAGAGGCTTTTTTGAGTTTGCCTTACGCCAATTTCGTTGAGGAGTAGTAAGCTTCCCGGTGGAAACACTACCGCGAAGAGTACTAACTGGATAGTGGCGATGATTTTTGCAGCAGCTGTGCCCGCTAGTTTTGGCGTAGCAGATGGCGGCCAATTTCAATTAGTTTACACTTTAAATAGAAGACGTTCGTTTGTAGTCAATTAATTGAATGCTGTGTTTTTGTTGATATGTATCTGTAAAGTTGTACGAGACCGCATAGGTAGCTAGCTCAAGCTTCGTAAGATGAATGACTGATTAGATTCAGTATGCCTCCTAAGTAATTATGGTTGACGTTATCTACCATTTTAGCTTACTGCGTTGATTAAACTTTTTTATTCGAATGACTGAACCTTTTTCTCGGTTCTAGTGAACGACTATGACCGTTGAATAAAGCATGACGAAGTTACCGTTATTGCTAAAGAAGTTACTAATGTTAGTTGCTACCGAAGCAAGCTGCATAAAAATTGAGAACTAAACTGAAAATATCGAGATGTTTTACTCATTACTTCAAAACAGAACACCAAAATTTTTACATCTTCGAATTTAATGAGAAATCAAGGACAGTTCAAGATATTACAGAAGGAAAGTTACAATTAATATGTGAAAACGTTGTTATAAACTCGATGATAGCGGACCCTTTAGAACACACCTTTACACATCTACACGTTTGATGCCTCTGTCAAGTAGTACACCCTTTCTACCGTAGTTGAACCTTCTTACTCACTATAGAGCCCTCAGGATTTATCATGTGGGTTATATTATGTGCGACATGTAGCATAAGGTCTAGATATGTGGAGCTGATTGCTGACGGATGGCAACAACAATGCCTTCTGTTTCATCGATTCATATTAAAATATTCAGATATCCGTGACTGATATAGAAAACGTTTAATTTTTTCAATAAGTGAATCTGAGGAGTTAATTATCTGTCAGTCTGTGGCACAAAGCGACTTGCCGTTAGCATTATTAAAAACAAGTCCGATACATTTTTTTCAAGCATACGTTAGAGCAAACCATTAGACGACTCGCATTCGTATAAAGACATAGGGAGTCAAATCTATCTAGAATTTGCTGCATTTAAAGGAAGGTTTATTTCTGATGAATTTCAAAACGACATCCAGAAACGACTGTATTTATAAGCCTACAGGTCAAAGTTAAAGATTTTGGGGTGACAAATAATAACTGGCACTACGTCTCTAAACGAGTCTATGCGAAAAGTTCGCGAACGCACCAAAGCAATTTTTCATTCCCTGATTTCTACCAAAGATCGCACTATTTGCAGACGGCTCTCGGTTATTTAAGCTGAAAAAGCAGAGTCAGAAGCTATAAAATCGGACGAGAAAATAGTCTAGATTATCTAAAGTAGCTTTACTATATCAGACACCGAGACCCATTTGCTTTGCAAGCGTATTCGGTACGCTACCTTCCCTGTGCTAAACTGTAAAAGGTTGGTGAGCTGAGACTGGAAATCATCAAAATATTACATATTTGTTGCAAAGGCATGTACCTAAATGGACATTAATATACTAGCACTAGTAGTCGTTTTTATAATAATATGTTATTGGAGACCCGTTCAAATACCATTAAATACGGAAGTTATGCGTCGCCGTTAACTAACAGTCCAGCCCCAAGTAACCTGGGGCCGTTATTGTCTCTCGCGAAAAAAATGTAGGTGAAACTGATGGCAACTATCATAGCCTACAAATTAGATGAACCATAAGAAAACTTAAAGCACCGTTCGCCGGCTTGCTGCATCATATTGTGTTATATAACAATAGCAGGCTGTTGAAACGAAGGGGCCTGTTTAAGCTACAGACGCATGTTAAACAACGTGGAGTTCGTAACATCCATATGCACGTAATCTTTATAATGGCGTCACAGTACAAAAGGCCTTTATACTTGCGCCGTTATTATGGCCTACGCAAACAGTAGGATACTTCGGAGGCATACAGCACAGACAAGTGGTATGTTTTCGTGTCACGAACTCCTTGAGAGAGTTATTGTTGTATTGCGTTTCGAAGATCACCGCCACAGGCCCACAGATAGTTTTTTGGGCATAAAGGAAAATTGCTTGTCTGCAATCTGCTTGTGGCATAGGCAACACTTATCGCTAGCCATTTCATTGAGTACGTATGCCAGGAAGTGCCAGTTTAACAATGTGCACCTTATATTTGTATATACAGATGTTTCTCGCTGAACTGTGAGAACGTATTTTGTGTGTTTTTCATACCTCATTCTCTTTCCCTTACGCGTTCTGCATTCGAACGCAGCCCACCTGTGCATCGATCCAATCATCGAAACAGTTGCGGGTCACAAAGGAATTGGTTATTGGGAGAAAGTGAGGGACCTTCGCCAAAAATTGTTTGCGTTGTTAAGAGATAAGGGAAAGCCTTCTCCTTCGAAGAAAATAGACGCAGCAATTGGGACATGATTCAAGTAACCGGTACGGAAAGGTGGCCTGAATGCAGGCCAACTGTTTATGCATTTTACGGACCTCACACGAGGTACCGTCATTGGAATTCGGCTGTGAATATTATCTTCTCCTACGTCCTTCATTGGCGCTAGCCCTTACGTCTACGTTTTTTCCTGCCAGTATAATACAAGTGCACATGTATGTGCATGATGTTCGGGATAAGTTGGGACGCAATTATTGTTGCTTGTCTTTACTTGCACCTAAACGAGAACATACTTCGTTGAAATCTTTGCAAGTGCCAAAGGAAACAGCCTGACAGATGTGTTTATTTAAAATAATTGCTATTCTCCTTACTGATGGTCTTAATAATTCTTAACTGAATATGGTCACAGCCTTTGTTAAATCAATATTACTAGTACCTTTGAGCAACCTGACGTGTCGTGTCAATATTAGTTGGACTCTTACTTATACCTCATATTTATATATGCCCGTATATATCAAGCAGCGGGTTGTGAGGCGACTGTACGTCCATATTCTAAATTACGCTCACGCGCTTATTGAATCAACTTCATTCTGATTTAGTTTTGTACGACGTGTTGCTTAAGATATATGACCGCCATTTTACACAGCCAGCATCCACACTTATAGTATTTCAATATTCAAATGGTTTTTTTTCTTATATGGTAAAGGTATGGTTACGCTTTTCTGTATGAATTATGAGAATATGATATCTTCTTCAGTAGATATAAAGCTGAGATGATAGATATAAACTGAAAATGTGGGTTACCCCCCCCCCTCCCGCTGGGTTGTGAGAAAATCAGCGGTCATTTCTAGCACTTGATTTCGCACCCAGAGAAATAATTTGCTGCTCGCTTGGGTATCGAAGGACTCCATGTAAGTATTTTATTTATTTAAGCACTGTATTTCCTATTATTTTAACTATGTTCGGTAAAACGCACAATGAAGAATCATCAGTAGTGCAATTTCGCGCCCCTTCAATTGGTTGGAGAGTCTTTTCAATATATTTTTCGGCGTGGTCTTATGTCTGTGGTATATATGAAGTTCCTTCTGTCTCTGCAAAAACCGGGTACTCAACCGCAATACAGTTAACTATGCATTTCGGCTGATCAATAAAGTTTATACGCGCAGTGGGGTTTGGCTGGAGCAAAACTATCGGACAATAGCAGATCCTCATTCACATTTCTGCATTCGCCATGACGAGTTTGTCGCTTTGTGTTAGAAAAAATCTAGATTTTTTATAATATAACGGATAATCGTTTGCTTATTAAAACGAACAGCCAGCCAAAATGTACGCCAGTTTGTATTTATATATATCGATGTACAAACTTGAAACAGTTTCAATACTTTCCTACAAGGTGGAGGTGGCCAAGTCGTGAATTGACTTCGTTTTTCCGAAGGAGTAGCAGTCAACCTTCGATAAAGTAAAATTGTACGAGCAAGGATCCAACAGCATCTACTAAAGCGACAATATATATTACGCCAGAGGCAGTTCGATAACAGCAACAGCATCTGTTCGTTCCCAATAGAGATCGTCCCCCACTCCCCTCTCAATCGAGGTCGTTCTGAGTTCTTTTTTTTTTCAAAATAGAAATAGAAGCGAGTAGTCAGGTAATGCCCCTATATCAACCAATATGGTAGTTATGGTTAGAGACGACGTTAAATGCGGGTCTATCACATCTCGAACTATCAGCTTCAATACATAAACATTGCGCTGGAGAAATTGAACTGTTGAGAATACTTTTTTAAGAGGCGGAATTGACCTGGGAACAACTCGAATCAGCGAAGCAAGTACCCGATGCTTTTATTTTTCTCTCAGACAGAAGCACATCGAGGTGCTCCGGAGCGAGGCAAAACCCGGTAACGGTAGGCAAACGCTGCTTCTTCATTTAAATAAGGGATAGTCCTTTAGAGAGGCAACTTTAAACGAATAAGGTTGTCCTAAAGAAGATATTCGCATACGAGCCGAATATTGAAATGCCAACTTGGTGGAAGGCTACTGCATGTAGCATACAGTTTATGATCGAAACCCGTAAAGATACACTTCCATCATCTGTTTATCATATCACCCGCAAGCGAAAACTGCGAATGTTTGTTCGTGTACATTTCTAGCTTAAATATATACAGATAGATCCGAAGAGGAGAAAAAACATGAAATTGACTATGTACGAAAAATGAAGACGTTGGATGATACAAGTCCAGAAGTAAATAACGATACTTGATGATCATCTCTCTAATCTTAACAGATAGGAAGAATTTCTCATAAAATGCAATGAGTTGGTTCTCAGGTCAGATATTACTGCATTTATAGAAAGAACTGGGCCATGAAGAATGATTAACAAAATATCAAACTAAGTGACGCGTACATTTACTTGTCTCAAGTGAAAATTTACAGTGGCTGCAAGTATCACATATTTTTATATATAGTATTTAAAAGCATTCGAATTTCTGCAAAACTATGCAAATGTACTAATTATGAAATTTAAGCTCTTTCTCAACTCTTCTCTTCCATATGGTCTTAGCAACCATCTAACCAACAAGTTCATATATGGAGTTTATTATGATACTCAGAAAGTTAAACAACAATGGAAACAGGATTCTGAAAGTCAAGCAAGTAGCGGTTGAGAATGTTTCTATGTGCTACCGAAATACCAGTTTTAACATGTCTCCTCCGTCTCATACCGAAATTAAGGGCTTAAGTTCATATCATCTAACAAGTAAGCTTCGTTAACGTTCGGCCTTTCGCATATTCACATAGTGACGCACACACAATAAAAGAATGTAGCGGTTCATTACAGCGTGGGAGTAAGGGCTGAACGGCTTTACTGACATTGCTGTATTCAACCCAGTGATGAAGGAATTTTGTAGTTCTAGTTAAATATATTGTCATAAAAAATTCAGACGTATATGTTTTTTTCTAGGAAGATAGAAACTAATATTCTGTAATAAATTGCATCGGTCACAGTAGTTACTCTGTATACAGGACTTGCAAGAGAAACAACATTCATCGATCGCTATGGGTAAAACAGTGTAATAACTTATAGTTTTGGAGCTGCGTGCAGAATCCATGCACGATAGTTACTAAATCTTACAAATATCAGGTCCCGCATATTCATATAAGACATTTACAAACTCCTGCTTCAGGCACTGTTGCTGGAATTTCTTTATCAGTCTTGTATATATGCATGTACATTTAGATACGACGCACATGCACCCTCGTCTATCCGAGGCTTGGAGGCATGCAAGGCCTCTAAGAACATACAAAGATAAACTAACAAGCCATTGCGAAACTGAGTTGCAAAGTCGATCGTGAATCTGATATGCATCTTGGCGCCCCTAAAAACAAACAGAAAACTACGTATTACATCCTTACAAAATAGTATGCACACCAAAACTTTCAAGAGGTGTCAAAACCTTGACGACTATTGAATAATGAATCAAGAAGTTTATCTAGGTCCATAACAGCTTAGGAATTACGACCACATGGGAGCAACTTTAGGTATAGCAACAGTAGGCTAGGTATGCTTTGCTGACTTCAAGGTTTATTCAAAGCGATGATTAAGTGCTAATTTCTTGGATTGACTCCGATCTACGACGCAAAATAACAACTCCCTTTTAAAGTCACTAAAAGATCGAATTTACTACAGGCTGTGCCCGCCATATTTCTTTACTATAAATTTGACTAAGGTCTGTGATTTTAAATGTTGCTTTAATGTACTATCTAAAATTAATAACAATCATTTATCGGCGGTTAGACATCTTATTCTACACAAACCGATTCAACGATAGAGGAGAAATCGCTATAAAACGAAGCTTCACCAGGAAAAACCGGTGTAGCATTTTGCTCTGTCCGTTGATCGTGCTAGGTGGATGTACTGATAATCACATCAATTCATATGGAAAATGAGTGGCGAAATCGAGTACGTGATGATCTCAATTTAGAAATCTGCCCATGTAGGCAGAAGCAGAGCCTTTGGGGCCCTTTTCACGTCCCGATAAATTCGGAACTTATTAACCTGCTGACGATTGGATAGATATCATGTTGGAGCTGTCGAAAATCTCCCTAGTGGTATTTGAATTCAAATAAGGCGACCTGTTCTTTCTGTTGGTTTTTTTGTGTCGGCTTGTTTTGGTGACTATGTTTATCCCCACAGAATAGAGGGGTTCACGACGTTATTTCAAAAACGCTTTTCCAGAGCGAAACAATATATATATATATATATATATATATATATATATATATATATAATTATAGAAATAACTATTTTCAGCTCAATTATAAATGTGCGATGATAAATAAGCGATTGCAAATTATAAAATAATGCGATTATTCGCATGTCTTATGGCATATTCGAAAAAGATCCGTGTCTTTAGGGAGTGAAGAACTATGAAGATACCATTCGTCAACTCCGTCTTACATTGAAAAGCATTATTTTGCTATTCTGTATTCAGATAGAAAGCACAGTATAGATAAATGGTAAAAAACACTTTACCTTAGGCATAACTACTGTAGTTCCATATAGAACTTAACCGGTGCGGAGCGCTGGCTTAATTGTCAATCCATTGAAGGGAAATTGCCGTTGATATGAGCAGTTTAAAAAAAAATTAAAAGGATCGTCCTACATCATAGGGATTTTGCCATTTAATGAACACTTAAATGTAGAAAGACATCTGTATGTTTTATTTTTATCTTCTCTATTACTTTGATAAATTTTAAATATAAACGTTTCAAATATAGTTAGTATTTCAACCATAAGGAGATATATTCATATATTATATATTTCAGTTATAAAACTGTTTATAAATTTTTTAATATTTATATATATATATATATATATATAAATATTTTAAATTAAACAAAACTATTTATTTAGAAACTATTTTTAAACTTTTTGTGATAAAAAAATAATCTATATAAACATGTTAGTCGTTAATAATGTCCTTGTTGAAATTCTCAGTTGTTAATAATTTCAAATGGTCTTCCGGGAATCATCTTAACTTTTGAGAAGTGCTTGAGATTTCCTTATTGTGATAGGGAGTAAGCTTTTTCAGTGGATTTAGCTCAGTGGTAGAGGACATATTACATTCCCTATAACATTGATGTCTAAATCGTAGAAATGATAAGGGTAAAAACATATTTTTATCTATCTATATGTTCTTATGTATATTTTTGTAAAAAGATTACCGGTGCATGCAGATACGTATAAAACGATGCCTGACACTTAATTATCTACCCCATACGAAGATGCTTATCGAAGGTCATAACAATTGAGGCACAAGTCAGGGAAACTTGTTGAAACGTAGTGTACTCATGCAGGCTAGTAACCAACTCAGTAAAGTGAAATATCAGGGTTTGTTTTTCCGAGGTTAAAGGAATATTAGAGCGCTTAGCAACAATTAATTGCGCGTCAGAGTTTGTAATTGTTACCTGCTTACACCAGTATGTCAGTCAGGTTTGCTCACGAGCAGCACGGTTTAGAAACATACGGATGTGAATACCATAGCGATAAGGTAAGTAGAACACATAATTTTCGATGTCATTTGTCCCTAGCAATCCTTTCTTTTATATGAAGTGCGTGATTTAAAAAGTAGCCATTTTTTGCTCGAGGCGCTTGTGTATACTATTTAGACTGCCTCGACTACTAATACTTGGTCCCACCGCGAACAGACAGTCACCGCCTGTATGTTATATCAGGTCAGAAGGCGGGTGTCTTGAACAATAAAAATAGTTAAATTTTGTGAATGAAACTTGGTCGTATTCTATTTTGCTTAAAATGACTTTTCGTTGAGGTATACCCTAGTCCTTGATTTTACATTTATTCTGTTGTACTGCATCTGGTGTAAAGCTTAGGGTATAACCACATCGCCATTTCCACGAAATGAAATTACCTAAATGTACCATTTAGCTTCATTATTTATGCAACTTGTACTATCTTGCCTTTGGTATCATCCTTTGCTAATTTATATGTCCTTATTTTTAGTGATGTTAACGAGTTAGCGCGATGGACCAGACATTTGCGTCTGATGCTGGAAAAAGCAGGGTTCGTTGACTGGAGCACAGCTATGTGACATTTACATAAAAAAAGTCTAACCAAAGAAAATATCATTTTCAGATATTATATAGATACCAAAAAAAAAAAAATGAAAATCATATATCATCCATGTCGTACACCTCCTATGTTCTATGAATTCTGTTAATGCGTTTCAGGAGTATGGAATGGACATCTATCTCCGTCAGTCATGGAATGACAAGCGCCTCAACCTGAGTCGCTTCGGAATAAACACCACCGTTGCACTTAACGGAGAGGACCTCATGGAGAAAATCTGGAAACCTGATCTTTTCTTTAGGTTTGTTTTGATCCCGCTAATCAAATCCCATCATGTAATCTATATATAGTACCTTATTGAGAAATACTGATCCGTAGGAGCTGGCATCTTGCTATCTTAAAACGCTGAAGGTTTGGATTGAAACTAGGCCAAAGCGGCACGCACGGATAGGAAGCATGTTTGTTCTCTATTATGCGTCCAGTTAGTTTTCATTACTATAACGAAAAAATTATCAACCATAGACAGTGGGATAAAATAAAAGAAAAATATTTGGTAACCGAGATCTTCTTCTTAATAGTTACGCGATACTTAATACTTTAGAGCTGGTCAATTGTACAAACTAATTCCGCCGGTCCTCAGTGCCCGCCAACAGTCTGTTATGCATACATAGAGTGAAGTTCACTCATGACGCTGAGAATTTCGAAACTGACGTGCGTTGCATGATGCGTAGTACTTATAGCACGCTGACCCTTTAGCATAGTCTGTCTATTGAACGTGCACTGTACGCTGATGGCCGGTACAAAGGCTTGAAGAAGTCGTAAGGGTAACTTGGTCAACGGATGAGATCGCAAAGTCATTCTTATATTCCCCATAACATGCATTTTAGATATATCAGAAATGTTTATCTCATCTATCGACTAAAATTTTTTTTGCAGTTGTATATTTACTACCGGTTTAGTGTAGTTAAACTTTCTAGTGCCTTGAAAATGACAATCACGTTCTGGTGCGATGCATGATTGTGCCGGTCGTAGGTAACACTCGAACATGCAAATAAAAAGCAGAGAAGATCCAATGATTTTTTTTCTATCGATTAGCTAATCTTGCACGTTACGTATAATGTAAATACCATTTATCGCAAATATCTTAACTGGCACATTGTAATATGTTTGTTCAACGCTCTTCATATACTGGCCTTACGATCACATTGTCCATAGCCATCAGTTGAAAAAACAAAACAGAATGTTTCTGTAACTAGCTTAGGATAGCGAATCATATTTGTAAATTTGTTATGTGTTTACATAAGTTCCCATGGAACGCAGCTCTGTTTGAATATTTGTAACAAAACAATGTATAAAAGGTCAATGTGTTCGTCAAATTGAGTTCCAAAAGTTCATTCTGTTTATATTTATTAGTTATTTGATTAGCGCCAGCCAATAAATTCGTATACAGGTCCTATTATACAATCGTCACTGAAAATTGAAGGTTCTATTTAAAAATCGACCGTTATAAATCTTCAGAGATTTGTCCATTCAAAAGACTTTTGGGAGCTAAATACTCAATCCCTTTTCGGTTACCTGTGCAGTGACTACGATTTAACTTTAGCCAGATTTGTATCAGACACATCGTTGCGTGGCTGTAATTTCGCTGCTTTCGACGCCCTTATCCGTGCCCGACGTAAACACCTTCTTCGCACATGTGTTATAGCTTATTGTAGAGCCCCTTTTTAGAATCGAACTTTGGCATGCATCTGACTCTTTTCCGGATAACCGATGTCATTAGGAATGAGTGTTTCCTAAACTTGCAATGGCTGTGAGCGGTAAGAGTCTATTAGAATCTATTTGGACCTGTCTTAACGATCTATATAACAAAATTACGGAACAGTCTTACATTTAAATACAAAATCAATACTTAAGTAGATTCAGCTTGCTGCCACTATCGACTAACTTGGTTCGCTGTTCGGGGTGGGACTAAGACACATATGACGCTTTAGCACTTATATTATTACAGTTGTTCTTTAATTTTTTTCTTAGCAAAGAAGCATTTTGATAAACGACACTGAGTTTTGCATAATCTCGTACTGTTTTTGTTGTAGAAATGTGAAGAGAGCGGCGTTTCACAGAGTTACGGTGCCGAACATGCTAGTGCGTATTGCCCCCGACGGGCAGGTACTCTATTCGATGCGCCTCACCCTTAGTCTCGCTTGCGTTATGGTCTTTCGCTATTATCCGCTCGACACGCAAAAATGCAACGTCATCCTCGGAGCCTGTAAGTTCAGCCTTGTACCACGTGCCAAGTTGTCTAATTACATATATACTAAATTTCCAATTTACACCTGTGAAAAACTGTAATAAAAAGAGCTTTCAAAAAAAAGCCTTGAGCTTCACAAAATATACTTGACTGGCAAAAAAAGGAATTTCTTAACCGCTTACTGTACTCGTATAGCAACAGTAAGTGGTATTTTTTCATGGATTACAGATGCCCAAACGATCGACCAGACCCGTATTTCGTGGCAGGAACATAAACCTATCGTTATTGAAAGCCCTATCGAATTGCCCGAATTCGACTTGACCGGACATACGCATGGCAGCTTCACCCGATCCGTTGACACTGGCAAGTGTTCCGATAATGGTGTTACGTTAATATTAATAGTTGGACAAGTTTATTTCTAATTATTCCAAGCCTTATCAGAAAATGAAGTAGTTTAAAATATGAAATCCTTTTAGCACTTCGTCTATTATTATCAGGATCGCTTTATGATATGCGTACCCAATTTTGGTCATAGTAAGCTTGGCACTTATACGTTGTGGAAAAATACATTATAGATGAGAATAAAGCTCTTTAAGAAGGCTCTAAGGTTGAGGGAGGCATAGTAGGCTTGGCTTGATCAGCTTTAGCTGTGAAATCATTGGATTTTTAGGCAGTGTAGCGCCTGGCCTTATAGAACAATTTGCGTTCATACGCCTATTCTGTCCATCACTGTCTACATTACAAGTCTTTTGACTTAAGGGCTACTATTAGGACAATATAATAGTTGGGTTTAAATCCAGCGGAAATCCTTTATAGTTTTCATAAAAAAATGGCTGCAGCTTTTCCTAATTTAATTTGAGACAGCTCACATATTATTTATATACTGCATATGTCTCATAAGATCAAACTCAATACGCATTTTAGCAAAAGAGTAGTTTTTTCTCACCTCGAATAAAATTCTTAGCCATCTTAAAGCCGTTCCTGCCTTGAAATTATAGAATGGATTTTTTTTTACCTAATGCAATAATCCATAGACTGAGACCGTTATTATATTATGTAATATACTGATTGACATTTTCTAATACCTTATTAATTTCAACTAAATTTTTGAAAATCACACTAAAAGAACGTAACATATGCTATCAAACCTAATTTAGACGGCCTTTCGTGTTCTAATCGTAGCGTTTATCCGGATCAACGTCAGTAGAGTCAATTCTTTAAAACTTTTATCAGTAATTTTTCGTTTTGAAAAAATCTATTAACCATAATCCAACATATATTTCTATAAACGGATGATTATACTCAGTTATTTTAAATATATTCGTTCTGTTATCCGCTGCACTTGATTTCAAAAGCTTCCGTTGTGTGCGACTGAAAGATTTAGTATTTTCGGTGTGAAGAAAAAATCGAATTTTTTATGTGTTCTGATTTGTTTGGTACAAATACGAAAAACATACACAAAGACTGTATATTTAATTAATTAAAACTTAGGTCAGGATGTGCCACGGATGTGTAAGCACGAAGTACCATATGGCTTAGAGAAACTCTATATTTGGTCTTGGAAATAAAAAGACGACCGAACAATTGTGGCAGCCCGTCAGTTGCCGGAGGTGCCGGTTTGAAGAAAATATATATCCAGTACTTTTTCAAACGGTTATTTATGGGCTGACTCAGAATGAATAGAAGATAACGGACGTGTTGCATCGGTATTTTGAATCCTGGAAGCAAATTGTTTGACGACTATTGCTCATGTATTTTCTATAAACACTAAACAATTAGCTATGCAACCATGACGTATATAGATGAGTTCAAAATGGCTCCTTTAAAAGGCAACATTGTAAATAGTGAGTATTACGTCTATAAATTTTGAGCCTCTGCTGAAAGCTTTGCCACAAATGTGACGGAAATGATCTAAACCACGTACTCCTTACATCATAAGCTAGCTTTGTGTCGATTTATATTATGGGCAGATAATGCAAGACCTGACGAATAATATTATAGGTTGATGAGGTCAACTATGCTTGTATACTAAGAACTTTTTGTTGGTTGTCATGTTATTAGGTAAATCATCTAACAGACCATTGACGACTGTGAACAATAAACGCTCTGACTGAAAATTATTTATCTTTCAACTCGGGGCACAAATGTTTGCTTTATGATGCATCGTTATAGAATTTTATTCAAATCTATGCGTCCAACCATAACAACAAAAAAAGCAAACCTCCTCATCTCTTCTCACGTATAGGCAGTTATTGAATAAGTCTCAACATGGAACGTGTAGAGTACTAAAATCGTTGTCCAGCGTCATCAGTAAACCCACCAAAATGGCTTTTCAGTAGCGTAAGAAGCCAACTTATGTTGCCGCTGACGATTTTTGTAAGCACCTCCTTTCTCGTTCTACTCGGCCAACATGAATGCAGTTCGAACGCATATCGTTTAGTTAGCAGGACAAGTTGCATGACTCCAATGCACTGGTCATCTGATAATTGCATCTATTTGCTATCCAGGAAGCTCCGCGTGGGACCGCATCTCCTTTAAGCACCGACTACCGTAACTAATTTATCAATGGCAATTTCATTAACAACTCCACAATTTTTTGTTATCTATGTGATTAGCTCTAATGCCTCTCTTTAATCTCACAACGAATATCCAATTCAGGGCGGATTTAAGATGATTTTCTTGTTGCGTCAACCCGTGTGAGCTAGTAAGGCAGTTCGATTATGGTATAGTTCTGATCCATCCGTAATAGTAGTTTATGCTGATATTGATCTGATGCCGAGAAAGGATACATTCCACTAGATATTCGAGAGAAGCTCTGAAACGGTTACAATTTTCTCCCTTGGCTTTGTGGTCAGCCGAATCAAACTTACCTAACGCTTCTTTGGGCCAGCACAACAACTGAATGTTAACGAATGTGACGCACTTATTATTTATACGATTTGTTCAGAAACTTTCAGCTTATGTTATCAATAATTGCTATTCTTAACAGTGGAGGTTGGAGATTTAGAATACTCTGAGCGTCAGTACTACCAGTTTATAGTTACTACCTCCCGTTAATAGTCGATAGAGAAATCTCATCGGAGTGCTGTTAAGGTTCCTTCCATCGTAAATTACTATGTAATAATGCTGCTATGTTTAGAATCGCGGATTATGGTAATACGTTTAACCCTAGAACCGCCCGCAATACGGGTAATAGTCAATAGTTTGATATGAATATGTAATAACTGAATGTTGACAAGTGGACAAAATCCACTCAAGCCTGCCTCAGTTTATTTCGTTATGTGTACAGCATACTAATAAAAGCGCAATTGTTAGGCTAGTGGAATTGAAACATAAGATGAAATGGGTATAGTGGGTGTCTTTTCTATCTTTGGGTTCCAGCTCAAAATATTGATCCTTTTAGCTGCTCGAGGCAAGCCGGCTTTACTTAACTAAATGCGCGACAACGTTGAACATCATGGCAACTCTACCAATTCAGAGTTGTTCACAAAACAAACATACATTAATTTGTAATTTAGTACATTAGGTTATCTCAAAATATACCATCCGTCTAGCTTTACCAAAAAATGAACAGAGCTTCTATTACCGAGAAGTTTAGAGTCATCTCTAAATGTCTTTAGCCATATACAGTGCTGAAGCATTTTTAGTATAGCATTTTCGCGTCGACTTTAAATGAGGCAAAGGATTCATCGAACCCGAGGAGGTTCTCTTTCAACCGTTTGTCCATAAGAACAACCGAGAATTTCAATGTTATTGCCTCTCTGTGCTCAAATCGTGACTTACGACTCATAAACACGACTTGTCTACAGCCAGCTATTCAACCTAAGTGTGTCCTCGGAAGCAGTGTTTCATATGTGGGCCATATGTTTGAGTTGGCTGTTGTCGCGGAAAATAGTTTTTCGTCAAATCAAGCCTTATAAGAAGTTCGCATACAGTCAAATTTTCCTGTACTAAATACGCATCCGAGCGAACGTTTCTTCGAAAAATTGAGTTAATGTTTAGGTGCCGTATCCTAATAATGAATCACTTGCTATCAGGTGCACCGTTATAAAGTAACACTTTTTCGAGATTCGAAAAACAAAAATTTTCAATTTCGAGAAGAAAAGGCAGAGCGAGCGCTGGTATTTGATACGCGAGATATATATATATATACTGGAATTAACGAGGCAGCCGTAAAGTCCTGGTGGTGTTTAACGTTAGATAATATATAAGTATCGCGTTTACCTGTGAACTCGAAAAGGCAAGTTCTAGTCGGTTTGTATGCATGTTCCACCCCACTGACGAATTCCTAATCCTTGTTTCTGATATAATATTACTATTTCATGGTTTGTTTAGATTTTGCTTGTCATATTGCATATTTGCATTGTTTTTCCTAGCCTTGTCGTTTTCTGGCACCAATGTGCGCAAATCATGGAGGTGCGTTGCATCGCATAAAATCATATACCATCTATCATCTACGCAGCCTGATTATTACGCCGCCACCAAAAATGCATACATTACCACTATAACGGCCATATTTGCTGCCAATAACTTGGCAAGCACAGTGTTGTCTAACGCAGAAAGCTGGCGACAGAGTCTTTTGTTTTATCCTCTAACAGAATAGGGTTAATGGCAGCGTTAGGTTTAATAGCATCTGATACTACGATCAAATCAATAGGCTCGGCAATGTATAAATATAAAAAGTGATACATAAAAAGTTCGCATAGTCTTTTTTGATCCTCTTTTATACAGACTAACTGTGAGACCTCAGATAAAATATTAAAAGTTTCACCGAGGTGTGGACGGCCTATTCAACGGACATAAGTGCATAACGGTTTTGTTTAGAATACTATTTATTTTCTTACATCATAAAAATGTGTTTTTCATTTTAAAGCCGTCTACCGTTTAGAGACTTACCGGAAAATACCATGCAAGCTTAACAGGACAACAATCTACCTTAGGAAAAACACTCTGGCAAATTCGAGTCTGGAAGCACACTTACCTACAGCCTAGCTACATGTATAGAATACGCGGACTGTGGCCGCAGCCACACTGTGTATCCACCTTTCGAAAGGCAGTCTGTCTGTTGACAATCGAACGAAATATGAATGAAGAGAATAATTAATTCATGTTTCACTCTTTTGAGCAAAACACGCCACTAGTAGACAACTTACCATATCACATTAAATTAATGACAATATTTTTCTTGTTAATTGTAGTGTGCCAATTTTCATTTTTAGTACCATCCTATCTTGTATATGGACGGTGTAGTTGCATGTCGTATATTTTCTGGTATATATTTGAAAGAAAATTAATTTTCGATATCTGGAAAAGTCCACACCGAGGACCAGTACTGGCGCATTAAGCATTAGTGCATCGTAGCAAGAATGGAACGGTACCAACATTGTTTTAGTAACTCTTTATCCTTCAAAAACTTAACAATTATATAGTTAACTAAAGAGTCCTCACCAAACTTGATGTCTACTTAGCAGGTACCGATTAGTCTATTCGAAGAAGTTCGGTGTTTTTTTGCAACATTACTTGCGGGTATCGTAAAAGATATAGGAGAGCACCTATTGCTCAACTGTAGTATTTCAACTGATTAAGTAAGTTCCAGTAGAAATTTCGAGAGTGTGAGTCTGCTAGAGATACCAGGATGATTAGACGATGGGTTGAAAGAATGCTAGTTCGCTAAAAGTCGCATGACTTACTTCTCATCGTCGTTTATCTTAATAATTACATAGTACCTGTACGTCTGTCTTAGCATTGTTTCTTATTATAAGAAACATCATTTTTAATTGATGTATTTGTACAACATCGGTAGGCGGAATAAATTCTTACATGCTAGACAACGCACTTGAGTAAAGTTTGCTCTTACTCAGGTAACTTCGACCCAAACGATTCACGATTCGGTTCAACGATTTACGTATTCGGTAACAACCGAGACATTTGTCCTTTATGTAACATAAACTGACAGCAAATTAAAAATTATTGTGAATAATCAAATCACTCCATTTAGGTTCCTCCTTACAGATGAAAGGTCAGCTGAGCTGATGGCTTAACAGCAAGCACAGTCTCTGGCCAGTAGGTCGAAGCTCTTCACATTACGAGGAATGAAAACGTTTTCTGATACCCCCCGTTCTCAATTAAGATCAACGACAAATATGCTGACAGCTGCCACCTGATTAACATGATAAACTAGACAAATAGAAAAAGAGACTGGAAGATTAAATACTAATTTGATCAGGATACAAGCACCCTCATTACAGCGTCGACTGTATGCGTATCTAGTATGCTGGTTTCCACTGCCCCATGAGGGTTGCAGCTTGCAGAACATTCAGTCCGTATTATTTGCTGCTTCTAGTTAGCTGTATGTATATATATGGCTTTTAAAAATGAGAATTTGTAAAATTAAACAACTGAATCATAAAGAAAAATACTAAAAAAGATGATCTATAATATTCTTTAAGATAACCTAACCCTTTATAAATAGACGTAAGTCTTCGTAATCTGTCAAAGTGCACCTTACAATGGTGCATTTTCTAAACATGAATTTATATTGTATTGTTTAGTTTACATTTACTGTTTTACATTCAAAAATTAATTAATGGGAAGACCTTCCGTATATTATTAACGACTTCTTCAGTGAAAGATGGGTTTGTTTTTAGGAGGAGGCCTCTATAGAGAAAATAACACCGATAAAAACCTAGCAGTCTGAGAATGTCGATGTGGTTTAGTTTTGATTAAGTGAAAACGGGCACCTTACCTTTTGTTTTCTTGCGCTATGTGCATATAGAATAGACAGTAAATCAAGTTGGCTTAACTACTAGAGTTTCGAATATAGACGGACCCGCTTTACCACCAGTCAGCTCGATAGCATTTTAGCCCGAACGGAACAGTGCAACTATATGAGACCAAATCGACCCCTCGTCAACTCCATTTCTCTGATCACTGAACATTTTAGCGAGTTGTGTACTGGTGCTTCCAAATGTCAATCAGCTTAATCTTCTGTAAATGATTTTCTAGATACACAGAGTGTTTTTCCATTGAGGAAGAATATTCATGCCTAACTGAAAGTTAATGTTTGTTTACATATCTGACTGCAGCCGACACTGTTGCGTTCCCAAAACAAATCGTTCTATTTGGAGTACAAAGTTCGATCGAGTACAAAGCCCTCACTGTACGTCATATCTGAGACGATCATCAAACACGGTGGGATTATGTATCGAAGTTGTACTGTCGAACAACGTTGCTGTCGCTGTTCGGAAGGGAGTTACGGCACGGGGATACATTATAAAATCTTGCTACACTGACGAAACAGCTGGGGAAGTTGACCCATGCCAGCATGTTCAGCCAAATATTGAAGTGCTATGGCGCAACTTCGACCACCTTTTTCCCGATAATTCATGCGATTTTTATATGATTTGTAATATCAGAAGCGTAGAGGCACCATATGGAGGCTCCTTAGGTTGTTTATTGGAGCTTTGTATTATCGAAACATCACCCGCTGCTACGGGTTCAAATCCCTGCCTACCCGACCCTCATCCTTTCATCAGCTCCCTCTACACAGTGATACAGTATAATTATGATGGTACAAAAGCTTCGTGGTGCACAAAAGAAAACGTTTCGGGATTTCAGCTCGAATTTGGGCATAATTGACTACTGAGTTTCGTTGCCTATTCGCCTCCCATTTAGTATCCACTTTTCGAATCATTTCCACCTCTAATAGTAATCATGATCACGATTATCGGCGTAGTGCCACAAGTCGTATGTCTTGAATATTCAGCGTAAAAGTAAAGACCTTAGAGAGGCAGCCAGTACATTGTATACTCCGCGTTTAATAAGCCTTATGGACTGAAACATGTATATAATAAGGCTGGAACGTTTGCGCAATGGCACAACAGCGAAAGAATTAATGTTTTAAGTGTTGCGTGGCTTGGTCCATGCGTAGTTCGTTTCATCTATATACGTGCTATGACACGATTTTCTTTCACATTCACGGTCTTTCACATTCATTATGTTTTCATTACATCATGCAGTAACTATAAATAGAAAATTGCTTGATCCTATGTAATAAGTGTAGAGCTTTTAGAGATGCTATCGACGCTGCGGTGTTCAATTTTTTAAAGCAGAATGGGCAGCATGCTTAGTAAAATTTACAAGGCTTTCGAATTTGTTTTTCACTGTTTAAAATTACTTAATATACAAACCAAGAATATTTAACTATTTGTTTTTAAACTATCTCTTTAGGCACTTTCAGCTTCCTAAATGTGACATTGACGCTTGCGCGTCAAAATGGCTACCACCTGATCCAGACGTACCTTCCAACTTTCCTGATCGTCACAATATCGTGGGTGTCTTTCTGGTTGAATATCGATGCTACTCCAGCCAGAGTTACTCTCGGAGTTACTACTCTTCTCACAATGACAACAGTCGCATCCGGGGTACGAACGCAGCTTCCTCCTGTCTCCTACGTCAAAGGTAATTGTCAATTATTGCATGGTAGCTGTCTTTATAATAAAAATATTTATTGAATTGTTATGGACCCCCCACGTAGAAAAGTTTCATTCCACTGATAAAGTGTGTGGCAACAAATAAACGTTGGGATTCGTGTTGGCGTCTCTAAACAGCTATCGACGTGTGGATTGGTGCATGCTCGGTAATGGTTTTCGGCGCATTGCTGGAGTTCACTCTCGTCAACTATCTCTCACGAAGCAAGATGCGACCAGAAGAATTTCGAAAATCCATGAATCCATTTGCTGTAAGTTGTCAAATAGCTATATGCTTTTTGGTAAATATAATGTGGTGTAATAATATCGATTTGGTACAGGTAGAACATACAACACATTTTAAATGCACACATAATAATTATTCAATAATAGTCGAAAGCCTTCAAAAAAGTACTTCGGCTTAACTGTCATCACCAATATGCGTGGTAGGGCATTTACCGCATCCTGATGATACTAGCAAATGTTCTCTCATTCAATGGACCAAAAACATCATTTGTATTCTTCTACATTGTCAGCAAAAACAATTTTTCAAATCAACTTTTTTCCTAACTGTACCATGGTAACATGAAAACGAACTAAGTGACGCAAATTTAAGACCCAAAGCATCTGAAGTTCTTGTTTCTATTCTGTTCTTATGGTGGAGTACGTCGTGAGCCTCCGAACGCTGTGCGCGCTTCTTGCGGCTTTTTTCCGCCAATGACAAATACTGCTCGAAACTTTGTAACTGAATTGCGAAATAGCGACTAACCTTAACGTGGAATAAGCAAACTGAGAAGGAGATTACACGAATATCGCCTAAGAATTTTTGGGAAAATCTGGAATTCATTATTACCTAAAGGCGGGAAAATTTCCAGGCACACTTTGATGAATCAGCGCAAATTTGATATAGTATTACTTTAGTGAAAGTCTCCAAAGGCCGTTAAAGATTGCGACAGATTGTTGAAAGCCTTTATCATACATTAATATTCTTTCCTAGTGCTGTCATTATACAAATATCGTCTTCTAGCTGTGTTCCATTACCCTTCCTTTATCCAGAGCGATAATTTCAGACCCGTAAGTTTCTGTGTCGCGTACATGTTAGCCTGGCACCCATAAGATTCAGTAAATGCAAGCTTTACCTATTGCCTACCAGCAAAGAAAGATGGTCAATTCAACTACCTTAATTGAAATTATAAGTTATTAAGGTTTATTTTAAAACCACTATTTCGCCAGTGTCTACCTTTCGGAGATGATTGTTGGAGTAGGGCTGTTTAGGTTAGCAAATATTATAATGTTTTAAGTAATGTACTCGAACGAAACTCATTTTGTTGTACAATTGCATTTCAGGGCACAAATGTACATGATCATTTGAAATACTTTCAGCATTAAGGACATTAATCATCAAGTAAACAGCTTGGGGAAGGAGGGAGGGGGTAAGAGGGTAACGCAATCTTAGAATGCTGGTAAACAGTCATATGCCGACAACTTAGACGTTTAGAGGCTGTTATATAATAGCTGCTTTTCCTGCACCATAAAAAAATAAGGACAGCGACAGGTTGAGTAAACATCGGATAATCGAGTCGGGGCCTTTTTGGCCAAGGTTGTTTTTAATTTATTAATTTTATGAAGGTCAATATGAATTTATGTCTCAAATACTGGAATAACTTGATAAAGCATGATTAATGAGTATAGCCAGAAAATGATTTACAAAATAAACGTTGCATTATAAGTTCCTACTAATATCACACTTTAGTTGAACTTAGGCCTTTCAATTTCAAACTCTGCATAAATCAATAACTTCTAACTGTATCGACATTAACCTAATATCGTAATGTCCTTTTTTGTCCTGTCCTGCTTTATCTAAGAAATATGAGCAAATATACTAACAAATACGAAAAACCGGCAAAAAACCGAAAGTAGATTTTTCGTGTCTCTCGTTCTATGTCTCGTATTCTCTCCAAAAAGACATAGGAAACTAGGGGGCATTTATATGAGGAATCCTTTATATATTTTGCATAGAGCACAATTTCTTGTTAGTTTTGAATGACGTAGTGAGAAGAGAATCTATTTAGTTCGAAGAAATCCGGCTGGAGCAGTTTTCATCACCAATTTGTTATTTCTATGAAAAGCAATCACAACTCTAACTATATAATAAATCCTATAAGATAGTGTGTTAATAAAGCGCAATTTACAAGTAGAGATTGAAATATATGGTAGATTTACTGACATGAAACTATTCATGCTTACTTTAAATTAAAGATTGTGCCACGTGTATAACAAGCGCTGTATTTGGTTGATTTTTTGAAAGGCTCTGCTCGTTAAGCAGCTTTATCGACCAAGTGAAACTTATGAATATTATCATTGTCAGCATCTAGTTGATGTTCGTTTAAAAACAGATTCTGTAAGCTTGTTACAATCGAGCTCAATATATTTTTTAGATGCGTATAAACTGTATTGATTGATGTGTGCCATTCTCTATACGGTTATAGTTTTTGCTGTAAAATGTCTAATTGTTTAACAAACCAAAGCCATTTATATTCAAGTACTTTTCAGATTGAAAGCTGGGTTCCTCAGGCGGAGAGGAGTATCTTTTAATTATTAGGAAACACAGATAGGCCATCTGTTTTCACTTTAAAACAAAACACTTTACCGAAGTCGTTACCGTTGGTGAGGTAGCGTAGCATACGCGAAGCCCGCACAAATTACGGCTCAGAAAAGCCATAATTGATATACGCGCATATAAGTGTTTTGTGGATGAAAACGTCTCTTTAATAACTTTAAACTTAGATGTGTAGCCCATACTTTTTTTAATAGTCACGCCCAGTTTTCATCTTTACTGCTATTATATATTACGCTTTCAATCGGAAACAGCATATGTATAGAGGAGGACATGGCTCCAATATATAGTACCGAATTTTATTTTTGAAAGGCTTTATGAAAGGACAAAAGACGTTTAATAAGATATGGGTCGTATTTTCCTTCCAGAAGCGTCTAAGTGATAGAGCGGAAGAATCCGTATGGCTTAGGTGGTTATAATTTCTATAAACATACGATTCAATTATAATAATTCACGAGCCGTTATGAATTTAATGTTAGTGAAGCGTAACATTCAACGCCAACATTTAAGTTTCCGAGGCTTATACTAAATCTAGTTCTTAAATCCGTTTAGGTACAATTATAATCAAAACAAGATATTTACTATTTATTTTCTTGATGTCAGATATATTACATTCTTATTTCACGGTATCGATTCTGATGGCTTATACGGCTTTGTGGGTTATCAGTTTCGCGTTTACATAGTTTGTCCTTTGAATGTAATGTCCAAAAGAACTTCCTCAGCTGCCCTGTACTCTAAATGTTTGTATGTATGACATTGCGAGTATATATTTGCATTCCTGTACCTAAGATTACATAGGTAACTCAATAATGACCTCATAAACAGAATGTACGTTTATCTTGTTCCAAACGTTCGTAATTTTTTTCCATACTTTGACAAAAAAAAAACTTCCCTAAATCAACTCTGATTAGGGTCTAACGTTTTGTTTAGGAAACAAGTTGTACATGCTGCAATTGACTGAATCAATAGTGTTGAAGTCTCGTTGATTGCTCGTTCCGCGCAGACGACTGATTAATTTTGTTCCCTCGGTTAAGATGGTGACTTCATGTTTGGAATGATACGTATACTAACCAGCTCGTTCGCCATTGCTTGATATGTATCTGCTATGCTGTTCGGTGGTGATCTTCATTCGTCTCATTAACTGCCTCCACCACCCATGGTTACATCGTCGATTTGGCTCGAATCGTATGGGTGGTCTGCAATCCGTCCGGTAATTCTATTGTTCGGCTCAACAGTGTATGGTCAGAGAAAATGGCGAGATCCAGTTAACTGAATTACCGAAAAATGTTAGTACATATCATTTTCACCGCAATCGCCCCACAAGGCAAAATTCACTTGCCACCACAGGGCCCAGAAGATCCGGTGAATCGGCTGTTGTTAGTTATAACTACTCTATGTTACAATAAACTGTTATGAATAGCTCTTTGAGTGTAAAAAGTTTGTTTGCCAGTATCACCGATCGCCGTCTCACTGTGTGATGAATGATTATCTCATTTTTTACTTTAAATATCCTTTTCTTCTTTGTTCTCTGCTACTTTTACGCTATTCTTTAAGTTATCTGAAACTGCAACTGACTGCTTGTCAGTGTCATAATGAGGGGGGGGGGGGGGCAAGCGCCCTGTCACGTTTTTCAGCGGGGCAATAAAGGTTGAACTTTCTATTCATTCTATAAGCTATTCGTGTCTCAGACCATTTTTGTATAGGAGCGTTGTCGATGTTCACATATATACCTATGAAACCTACAGAAATTTATTACGATTTTGTTATCTCTGGTGTATTTATACTCAAAAGACGCACTATGTCATTGAGGCTCCACAGCGGCTTATTATAATCACGACCTGCGCGAATACCAATGCTTTTTATTTAGTGAAGTGGCTCTTTACCAAGTTGACAAAGTAAGTCTGAAGACAGAAAAGAATATTGTTAAAATTTTTGTGCTAGGCTTTGATAGAAAAATTATTTTTCACTTACTAAACAGTTAGCTTACTCCGGAAAATCAATTAGCTTTAACTAGTTACTCTGTCATAGATGCAACACGCACAATATAGCTTTCATCATCAAGTTCAAACTCACATTGACGCGAGCTATGTACAACCCTGTATGTGCATATCTAATTGCATTTTAGCTCCATAGTTAGTTTCTGCTTTTATCTCTCGGAAACGATCCGAGCGATAAAAAAATGCAATACATCATGCATTTTTGTCTTATAGAATTCAAAATTCATCTTAAACTTTTATATATATATATATATCGCACAAATAGGACCATTTAAAGAACTTCCACATGTAGTAGCGACAAAAAATATGCCGCTTGTAGTATTTTTTGTGGCAGTCACGTTATAAACTCAAGAGTGATACAAAGGTACATATGGACGTCATTGCTATGTATATAGAGATGCAAATCTTTCAGTTTTATTCAATGCTCCAGTAGCCTTTGCTAATAAAAAAGCATAATCCACAAATGAGTTTCCATCGTTCATTTGTCAATTAAACTATGTCTGATTGCCGATCAAAAGTTAATGAAAGATTGTATTGTGTTAGACCTTTTTTACAGTTTCACCTGCTTATGTATCAGAGCTAGATGTAAGGCGTTATCTGTGTACACTCGTAAGCCACATCAATGGCGCTACACTGTAGATGAATCAATAATTAAATAGTCATTGTTGTACAGAGCCGGCAATCCTTACAGTAAGTTCTGTTTTTGATGATACCTAAGAAAAATATAAACAATAGAATAGTAATTAATACACACGCGTAGTAAAGGGTGGAACTATGTGTGTCCAAATTTGCATGATACTATCGTAGAAAATAATTGATGCTATGGAAAGAAAGAAAGGAAATTATACTATTATATTTATCAAAGACTTTTACGGGGTAGCCGAAATGGCCCCATTAAAATTAATTTTCAAAGAGATATCAATTGGAACATTTATCTTATTAGCTCATGTGACCTCACATGAGCGCTCAAGGCCACTAATGATTTTGCGCGAAGAAGTCATTCACTCAACAAAACCAAAGGGAACGTGCTTTTCTTTCTAGAAAGAGCTGTGATTATACTTAGATAAGCCGGTGCTTTATTATTGAAGTTCTGCTGCGTAACGTGAAGTCGGCTTGTGAATGGCCCATATACTACGATATTCGTGAGTTGCATTTTATTCATCGAAAACGAGGAAGAAAAACAATGTACGCACTGTTCTCCGAAGCGCATTTAACCGTACTGAGCCCCGGACCGTATAACCATCATGGCTATGCATGGTTATCGTGTAAATAATAATTCATTGTAAATCCTGATTTACGATCACGATTACTCGCAATGTCATGCTGCATCTTATTTTTTCGACCTTATTTTTTCCAAATGATGCGTCATGCCAATGTAGTCGTCAACATCTTGTCTCATCAAATCATATATGTAACACGTTGTTAATAATGACTTGTGGCACAACAAATACAGAACTGCGATGCCTTCTTTTAGCTTGTCATACTCGAATGGTCTCAATCTAATGACTTTGATAAAAAATGTTGCCTTAAAAGATATCACTTTAGCAGTAATAGAAACAGTAATAGAAATACAAGGTGTTTACGCTGCTTCTGTATCGTTCAATAAAACTTTGATTAAATACAAACAAATCTTAGCTGTGGTAAGATATCCTACCTGTTAAAATTAAAGCGAAGGGGAAATTAAGTCACAAATTTTATTGAATGCCTGGCCTGACCCATGTATATCTCAAACGTCCCGAAAATTTCACAATATAGTTTCAAATCAACGTTTCCTTGCTAGAAAAGACAGAATGGTATACATAGCCCTGCCCTGTATATTTCCTTGTATAGTAAAAGGAAACAAATAGTTACTTTGTATCCAAATGTTACTACAATAGCTTGCAAATGCAAAATATTGTATGCGTATTATATCTTGGCTTGCTCTGTATTTACTGAAAATTCCATAATTCGAAATGGCAAAGGTCTTAGCTAACAAATTGCGTGCAACGTGATTTTTTCCTTGAGGTTTAGATATTATAACGACTGTCAAAATCTAGATAAGTTCAACATCTGCACTACTTATATCAATGCTACTAACACAGCTTTAGCGAGTACCTTTGTATTACCACAATGGCTCATACAAAGCACGCCATTTAAGTCGCCATTAAAATCATACTAATCTATTCCTACCTACCTAATCTATCTATATCTATGCAGACAATGCTCAATATAATTATAAATTTTTTTTGTTGCCAATTTCTACTATAACTTTCGCACCGTACCGCTTAGTGGCTTTGTTTCGATATGCCTTCAACTCAAATTCTGTATTTATTTACCGGTTTCATTTCTTTGGCTCTCACTCGCGGACTGTGAGCGACGTTGTTCTTTCTTCTCCTTTTTCCGACTCCTTTTTTCAACCCAATACACTTGTTCCTTCAGCCTCGGTACTTTACTCACATTCCTATAGCCCTATACGACCCGTTGTCAATTGGTTCTTTCATCTACGAAAAACAATTGATGCTAACGACACTTTTCGGTGCTTCTCCTTGAGCAGCGCAAGAAGACCCCGGAGGCGGCCTCACCTTCTGGGAAGGATTCCGTCGCGCAAGGTGAATAACAAAAATATTTGTATTATATATATTAAAGCGCCCTCCATAGGCGTCTGTTTTGCTATTTCATATATTTTAGCTATGTAAAAGTAGAAGGCTAATTATATTTATAAACGAGGTGACGCCGAATAGCGTTTATTTATTTCTCACTAGGTATAACGTAATAGCTTCTACCATAATGTCGTTCGTATAGAGTTTATCATGCAACAAAAACTGAGCCGCGCAGACTTTCTCAAGGTGAAACTCATGCGATTCAAAGAATATCAGCTTACCCGACCACTTTCAGGGGGCATGTAAGGTCAAACAAAACAAGCACTGATATATATATATACTGATTTTTAGTAATATATGCGTATATAGTCGCATTATTGAAGGATTGTATCAGAAATGCTTAAAATATATATATATATATATGTATGTGGGGTGAAGTTTTATTAATAGTAGTTTTCGAGCTATTATGAACGAATCTGTTTGTGTTCGCCGTTGAAATGCAAGTCACTGTTTTTTTCATGACTGAATTATTTGTTTATATAACTGATCGAGTATAATAACGAAATGTTATTTCGTAATTCGATTGAGTTTTTGCCCTCCCTTGCAACTAACATAGTTCATTTGGTATGAGTGCACATTTGTATAGATATAGTTGTGTTTACTTCTTGATTTGCTTGGTGATACTTAATGGCAGATCTTAGGTCCATTCATTTACATATTCCGCATTTATTTTTTTTTTATATAACCACTGCTGTGGCCGAAATGATACTAAGTAGAGGAAGAAAAAGTACAGTTATTTATTATGTCTGAAAATAGATGCAGATTGAATGCAAGATAAACACGAAACTGTCGGAAAATTGTCGAACATTTATGCAGAAGTCGCTAACGATACTGTCCCAGCTTAGATAGAATGCTCTGACATATAAAATTAATGCTTAGAGACTCGTTGCCTGTCACAAAATATGTCTCTTCAAACTGTAAGCGAGTATGTAATAGCGTCTATAAAAAAAATATTTTTTTTATTCAACGCAGATGACCAGATGGCAGGTGGAAACATGCGGCCTCACGAGCTGCAACGCAACGTAAAGCGTGCGCAAATGGTAGACCGTGCATCACGGATTATGTTCCCTTTCTTATTCCTTGTCTTCAACACCGTCTACTGGACTTTCTATTTATTCCGGGGAGACTCATCTCAATAGGTAATTCTTTAAGTTTGAAGAAGATCCCATAAAAACTACGACATTGACCTAACGTTGCCAAGACCCAAAAGTAAAAACTAGAAACAGGCCTATGTTTGATTTCATGGTAATTATATTCAGTTATTTCATGGCATATATGCATTGCATCTACTTCTATCCCGTTTTAGGCAATTAGAACACGATGTTAAATTAACTGTATTCTGAAATATTATTCGCACATGTATATGTGAGATTTTTTTCTGCGTATACAACCTCATCTTCCTTGACACCTATTGGGAATGGGTACAAAAGTCAGTGTGTAATCGGTATAATTCTTTTTTGACTTTTATGCAATCGTGCTATAGGACCGGCTTAATACCATACAGGGAGGCGGGCAGACACAAGCAAATGGATTCGGCTCTGCGGCCTGCGCCCTTGGAATGGTCCTTGGTATCCTACCCAGGAAGTAGCATGTCTGATCCGGCCTGATATGGCCAGACCATAAGCTACCTCCTTCACCGACATCAACAAAATTTCAGGCAGCATAAACGGCCATCAGTCACTACAAGAACCATTCGTTTTCATCCCGTTCTCCAAATCGCACGCCGATCATAAGTGCAACTTCATTCTTTTGACATTTTGGTCTGATCTTATCTAGAACGTCGGAAGAACATATATATATATATATATTACACCGTCTTCAATTCCTTTCTTTTAAGAATGGAGAGGACTAAAACAGACCAAACTACTTCTTGCTACCAGCATAATAGCGGTGGCGACGAGGTGGATGTTAATAACGACACTCAAAAAAATACGTCTTTAAGATCCTTTTTATGTTTTTTAAATTTTTTTTAATCCTAGAAAAAAAGAAGTACGTATTTCTAACATCAATTTGGGCTACAAACGCGGCATTGACAGCAATCATGGGATAACAGAGAACCGGTGAAAGCTGATAATACTATGCGTATATGAATATATATACATCATAATACCAGCTACTTGATTATATCACTTCCTTTGACCACACGGAACATTGCGAAGTCATTCATTTACCTTCGTCATTTTCTCCTCGTTATAGCAAGAAGTAGTCACTGCCCAACTATCCATACTCGACTAGAACAACAAAAACAACATGCCATGGAATGGGATGCGAGGCAATTTTACCTAAATTCCTTACACGAGCGCATGGTTTTAATATTAATTGGTAATAACAATAAGGTAAGAATAAGACCTGCTAAATGAGAAGTTACTTGTATCAAAACAAGAGACCTTTGTTACTGTTATCATCGTTATATAATAATTACCATTACAATTAAAGTTGAGATCCTAGATATCGTTGTCATACTGGTTACCCTCACCAGTCAGCACCTCAATAGGTAACAAGGTACCGCCAAGGCGACCCGCGTTATGGCTTGATGTTCTGGGCATCTTATATTGTACTTACCGGTGAACAACTAACGACATTTACTAAAAAAAGAAACAACGGAAGAATTAAGTTCTGTGAAGTAAAAACACAAATATAGTTTAGAGACATTTAATTTTAACAAGGACTCTTTCGAAGAGTGCACGTTATATTATCTATTCTTGAAGCATGAAATAACGAAAACACAGTGTGGTATAGGTTAAAATCAACCCGATATATCCTTCCCTCATTTGATTGATACCTTGATGAACTTTAAAAGATGGATTATCGAAAAATATTGAAGGCAAATTTTTCTATTGCTATTGCAAAGATGTTATCTAGCCGCAGGTATTTATGGGTTAGTGCGCTGCTCTGCTTCCAAAACAGCACCCATTCTGTGATCGTCTTACCGGTTATGAATTACTACCATATTAACTTTGAGTGAATGCTGCATAATGCTAACTTACTTTTCTATTTTGGTCGATGATAATTAGGAAAACCAACCAAAATAGTCGTTCTAATTATTTCTTTCTTCTCAATTCTAATTATTAGTCGTTAAGGCGGAAATCCTTAAACAACGCCAATAAAAACCAAAAGCGTTAGTTCTCACCACTTAAGCCTTTGATAAGGCACAAGAACCGGATTCGAAGAAAACATTGATATACTCTATTCACATCGTTTCAATTGTTACGCGTAGAATTAGACATTTCGATTTTTCAGACATTTTCATGATACAGACAATATACAGCTGAAACGACAAAACATATATATTTGTGTGTCTTTCGTTTAATCTAATTAACTCTGTAATCGGAACAAAATATTCCGAAATTTACGTCCGACCAAAAGAAAAATTAACAGAAATAGATAAAAGCTGTTAAAAAGACAACACGTCACATAACTGTTGTCATCAATGTTCTTCAGTTTCCCCGTTTAATCTGTGTGCCGATATATAACACTACGTTCTAAATACTCAAGTTTATACCCTAACAATTCTGAATAGAAACAACATCTGTGCGATAAGGAATGGTTAAATGATTTGAGACTACATACAATAATGCGAACAAAAAATATAATATGATAAAATTGGAGAAAACCGCTAATGCAATCAAAAATGTATGCACCATTTCTATTGGATAAATTGCATTTTTGCATGATATTAAACGCATATAGGAAAATGCCGAGAACGGCGCCCACGTATATCGGTATCGATCAAATGAACCTTTACCTACAAGTATTCTATGATGGATCACGATATATTCATCATAAACATGAAACTCAAAGGCATTATTTCATAACGGTGCCTACATATCTGGTTTATCACGTATGGAAACGTGCTACATATTTAATTTAAGAAGATCATACAAGTACATTCATTTTTTAGTTAGGGTCAATAAAATTCTCGTATCTGACAACACTAGGAACATATGTTCAAGGATGCTCCTGCGTTCCGGGGCGGGTGTTCCGTGCTTAATATGGATTAGTGGCTACCACTGTTAAAGTCGATTTATCTTCATTGGATCAACCGTTATTTATATCGTGGAGACAGCGCTGACCGATTTCTTCAACTTCTTGGTTTCCTGATAGTTTTTTTTTATTGATTTAACCGTTATTAAAATGTATCGACACCACCTGATCGCAAATATACAAACTATGAGTTGAACGTTGTTTGTCGCTTTATCGAGCCTAACAATGGTATACTATTTTTTTCTAGTAAGATTCTAATTTTGAATCTGCAATACTTAGTAATGCGTTAATACTACATTCAGTTGTCAATATTTCTTTATTATTATTATACCAATAATACTGGTGCTTAAAAAACAACGAAGAACTGAAGATGTGCTGAACTGAGCAGTGATTTTCTAGGAAAAACAATTAAAACGGCTAATAATTTCTATACGATTGAACACTTTTTATTGTTCTGTTAGTGAACCTGTTTCATTGATTTATATCCAAGATAAACTCTACGAGTAGCGAGGTTTAATAGTCTAGTACGTTCTCTATTTATTTCCTCTCAAGAATGTCTGCGTGTTTTTCTATCAGATCAGGTTTTTTTTTATCTTTGCTATTGTTATAATGCTAATAAATTATAATTTTATGCTGACCCAGCAATTTTGGCAGTTGCCAAAGATACTAATGTCGAATTTGCGAGTAATCAAAGCTAAAGGTGCATATATATGTAAAAGTATAAATACATAACTAATATAGTTGTGTGTACCATAAGAAGACTATTACGTTAGTCGGAAAACTACTGAAGCCGTAGTAAACATGGCGCCTGGTGCAAATAAAGTTCCAGTCAATCGACATAATGCGAGTACATCAGTAGTTTACACTACTGAATATTTCGAGTTGTACGTCCGATACCGCCGTTAACTAACTCCCAGCACGAAATAAAGTGTGTCTACGCACGGTTCGAACCTAGCGCGCGCTACTGGCGTACATGACATCGCGCCTTGAAGGGATCTGACACCCCAATTTCGCCCCAGCCAACGAAACCCGTTATTGGGAGATAAAAGGAACAAAAATAGTTTCCAGCCATAGCTGCTGCTGCTGCTGTAGGGTTTTCCTTAACGCCTACTCTTCAAATTTTCGACTTCGCACTGATCTGCTCACAGAAATTGCGAATTTATAATTCGCACCTATGGCACTTGAACAGTAAACACCTAGGCTAAAATCAACAAAAAAAAAACATACAGAAATCTGCTAAATATTCACTGGGAGCTTTTGCACACGGAATATTGTTTAACATAAGAATCAAAATTCCGCGCTATTAGCGACACGCTGCAATACAAAATCACTCGTGGAAAGTCAACGTATGTGTAATTGGCTTTTGGCTAGAATATGTCTGCTATACAATCAGCCAGCTGCTTTACGCCTTCTTGGAAAACTTTTCCACTTTAGTAAAACACAAAACTATCTCGTTCCAGCCGCGTCACAGTCATAAAAAAGTGGCAAGCGAAAGAACGCAAAAATGTCGACGGTGGGAGTTGCGTAATGCCGACTGCTATTCCGTTATTTACTATGAGCCAGCGTAAATTGATTAAGATTAATTTTTATCAAGCCGATGTTTTTTTAGTCAGCCAGGACAAAGACAAAATAAATAAGAACGTCCGAGGTCGACTTTTCGATATATGTGGAATTCTGTTGTGACAAAGGCTAGGCACTCCGCAGCGGGAAATACTTTTCGAAGACGTCTCGAAGCTCGCTATTTCTCTCGGAGCTTCGGACGCCTTTCGGGCTTTGGATAATGCTATTCCTGTATTTTACCCCTGGCTCAATAAATAGTAACTTAACGTTGCTTACCATAAAATTCTAATCTGAGACGCATTTGGACTATAGAATCGGAGTTGATTTTTACATAATATTTGTGTCGTAGGACGGTACCTTGAAACAGACTTCCCATGCATACAAATATTATAATCCTAAAAGGAATAATTCCTCATTAAGATCCTCCCGATATTGAGACCTTAAGAAAAGGTTTTAAAACTAGCATTCAAACCGGTTTCATACATCATATTGACGAAGACACTATCGAGCACTGTCTCTGATGAACAGAAAACCGGTTCGAATGTTATGTGGAACAGCTAACATTGAGTAAGAGGTAAAAGTTAGCTTGGAAATGAAATAGACTGATAAGAAAATCTATGTATGTGAGGGTAAAAATGATTGCAAGAGTTCATAAAAGCAGAAGGTTTGAACGACAACGACTAGGCTGTTCCTACCCTCATTGTACTACCCCGATTATGACAACTGCTACTCTCTCAAAATTTATCATCAGTGTTTCTACTTAATGATATAAATTACCACCATTACTGGCATTAGACTTCCTCCTAATTGCTGAACATGAAAATAGCAACAAGCACGATGAACGGGTGTTATATTGTATGCAAAAGGCCGCATGACATGATTTCAGAGTTCAGGATACTAAATACTCCGAAACACGCATCCAGAATCTGTGGTTTCAACAACAATAGAAAATAGCATCAGTAACCGTGTAGCTGGAATGAGTCGACTGTATCCTTATTATTAATACCAGTTATAGTGCTACCAGTCGGTATGACTATTATTAGCAGTGAGGTTGAAATGCACTATCGCGATAAATTTTCGATATTTTTTATCATCACTGTTACTATTAATTATATTTAAATAAGCAAGGTAGCCTCATATTGTCAAAGGCATGCTTCACTACAATTTTATTATGTTTCTGAGCTGTGTATAACAGACATTTTATCGAAAAAGAAAAAAAAGCAGAACTCTACTGCAGGATCAGAATAAGTGTAGCCCATATGCGAGCTTCGCCAAGATTAGCCCAGGCAAACTTTCGTGCGTTAAAATGACATAAGCGATATGTTTATACTTCGTTGTTAAAACGTGCATTATCGTCAATGTCCAAACGAGATTAACTAGTTGATCAACAAAAATAGATAAAAATCTGGTGGTGGGTGGATGACCAACTGATCTATTTTATACTTCGACTCTAGTGAATTAAAAAATTTTTTAATATAAACAAACAAAGTATATCCCATTACATACATATAAACGTAAAACATAGATTTTTGACAAAAAAAAGATATTTAAAACAATGTTTAAAGATAAAAATTATATGAGCTGATTCAAGCTGAGTCGGGATTATACGATTCTATCGGACATTCATGTTCAGCCTATTTACATTTAGAAAAACACGCATACATATATATATATACATACACATATATATATATAAAGGTGTATTACGCGTAGACAACTTCCACCAAAGGGTCAAAAAGAAAACAATACAAAATCCATTATGAAAAAGACAAGCAAAAGAAACAGTGCAATTCGAGCATGGGGCAGAGTAATGACGACAATTAGAAAGCAACGTTTGCAAAGAAATAGCAAGTAGTTGATTATGAAGACATAATATACAACCAAATATAGATATTCAATTGTATATGGGTGTAGGTAAATCGAGCCATTATTAAAACAGAGAAATTATAATGATAATAAGCGATTATGTTACAAAGAAAAATTAACGGGAGAAAGATGATAATAATGGTTAAAGTGGTGAAAAGGAGTTAATAGTGAAGAGAACGCCCCTTAGAAATTGTACTGCAATTTGTTTTATAAACTTCCTACAATAGCGGATTATAAAGAGTCCGCCGACTCTTGGGATGACAACAACAATCCCAAACTAAGAGTTACCCCGTAATTTAGACGCACACTACCAGCCTGCTACCGTTACAGTCACTTATGTCAAGCTAGAACAATGCTTTTTTCAGAAAATGTCTGTTCACGTTGCCCTCCATATTCAGGCTAGCTATTGTTATCGCTAACATACCATTGGAGTATTTCATGGACCTACAACTATAAAGCGTATTTTTGAAAAGGGTTGTGTACTGACCTTCAGGATGAGTGCGGCAGTAATCTGTGATTGTTGCGCATAGATAGTCTGACCTGAAGGCCTAATGCCTCTTTCACGGTTCATTGTCTCATTACAGTCTTGTCAAAATTTCGTACCCTCAATAAATTGAAGTATTCTCGGATATGCTAATGTTGCAACGACAAGGGCATCCACAAACAGGCAGCGGGAGGCTTCTAACTAAATGATACTACTAATAATAATCATAATGGCCAGAAATTCTAGTAGAGTGTCAATAGAAAAGCAACAGTGTGCAGCAACAAATAGTGTCCTGCCATCACCCGTAGCCGCTGTTACTAACTTCGAGCTGCTAAAAGCAAACGCGATTTCAATTGGCGAACCTTGACCTAGAAGCGACGTTCGATTGAGTAGCCCGAACCTCCGCTTTGATACGTTCGCCACCATGATGAAGTCATTTCTACTACCGTAACAACCGTTCAACACATATATCTAGCGCATAGAAAACCCGTAGCAGAGTTAACTGTATCAATAAAATAGAAGTGCAAGGACACCATAAAGCTAAGAACTGACGACCGCAAACACGCCACCAACAACCATTACAAACACAGATACATAAATATAAGACGATGCAAATAGGCAAAAAGTTTTGCTTGTCTCAATGAAGATATATACAAAAACACAGACGTATACACACCGCACACGGGATAACATCCATGTGTACGATTTCGTAATTTTTATTAAAGAACAACTCTGCTAACGGCAACAACAAAACGTATAGTTGACCTATAAAAACGTGATTTGTCAGTGGTTCAACGCAGCTACATTAGATAATGTTAAGCCATAGAATGGAGTCACAAGGGAAACCCAGAAAACTTTAGTCGATGAAACACTAACCAGCTCCGCTGTACGCAGAAAAGCACAAAGCGTCAGCAACACGAAAAACTAACCACTATCCAAAAACAGATCCTTATTTTCTGCATTATTAAGTTTTGAATAAGTGAAAAAAAAAACAAAGAATCCAGCCCAGTCCGATGTAACTCCTCAATACTGGAGTTTTGTAAAAACTAATTATCCTTTGTTTTTTCTTTAGCTCTGTGCCGAATCTGGGTTACATACATTTTTATAATCGCTTCCTCTAACAGTTTATGATTTGTCAGCAAATTATTGAACTACTTCTTGAGGCAATATTGATAATGGCCATACGATGAAATAAGAGCAATAATAACAAGTGATGTGTGCACCGATACACCCATTGGCCCACTTAAGAACTATGATCAACAATTACGTCTAGGGAATTACGTTGGAGTGCTTGAGAAATACAAGAAAAAATAACACATTTTTATAGAGTCGAGTGGCGCACGGTACGAATGTCAAACGACGAGCTGCTACGATGATAGAACCTTTGAAGCGTCAGAATATCTAGCAACATATATATATATATATATAGAAACGAAGAAAAGCCGAAACAAGAAAACGAAGAGTGAACGAAAAAGAGTATGCTATGTCATCGCATCCGTTGCTTCAAGATAACCCTTATGCTTGCGTCACTCGCAAGTTGCCATTTTTACCGATCCAACTCAGTTACAATTATCTGATAATAATCGATGTTATTATAATTATTGTGTCTTAATTGAGCTTTTGTTCTCAAAATATTCTTATTTATTACGTATTAGTACCTACATATCTCATATTTATTGCCACCTGGGCCCTAGAAACATGAAGGAGGCGAAATGCAGCTTTGCTCGGAATCGTTAAACTTCACCTAAAATCCAAGGATACATAGAATCCTAGTGATGCGTATCATTAGTAAGGCAAATACAGTGCTAAGGAGAACAAACTAAAAGTTTAACGTTGCTGTTGTCAAAGCAGAAATTAAATTGAACAAACTCTTATTACTTGAATTTATTCATTTCAGATATACTATTGCTAATAATACAGCCATCGGGAACTAAAGCGATTGCCATTGAACAAACACAAAATTTCTACACTAAACTTTATGATATGAACGTATCTACAAGAAACTGTGAAAATTCTACAAATATATCTGAAGAGATCTTTGGGAATCAGCATGGACAGACATTGCTAGGTTATTTCATTGCAACCATATTACATATTTATTTCAGTGAATATTGTACATGTTTTTACATAGGTCATTTGTTAAATAGATACATTGTGTTAGAAGCGGAAAAGATCTACAAAGCCGTAGAAGGTTCATTTCATCAAACGTATGCCTTCTGCACAGAAACTCTACTCCTAACAAAAACAGGTATATTAGCGTCATAAACGCATTGTACTTCGTAGGCAAAAAAGGCTTCCATATATAAACTAAAATACGATTAAGGATAACAATAACTATACCATATAAACAGTAATAATAATTATTATTACTGTTATTATATGATAATGATAATTATTATGATAAATGTTGTACTGAATGATGACCAGGACTAAAGCAACACTGATGCACGCAAGTAATGGTGCCTTCATTTCGTAGCTATACATTGCATGCTCAAGTATACTCCTAGCTTATACGGCTTACTGTAATGTTCCGCCTCTAATTTGAGCGATATAAGCAGTCAATCTCCTGCCATCTGCCGAGCTCACTGCAGAATAGAACCATTCATGTATCAGCAAATGCAGAACCCACTCCAAAGACTCCTCTGTTTCGACTTCTTGGTGTTAAAAGTATCATTAGCCATAGCATTAGCCCTATGTATCACTGTGGAAGTGACCCTGCACCCGTTTGGTTCGATAAACGCATCAATATACTTCACTTGGTAACATATAGTTCTGTATTGTGAAGCACAGATTGTCCAACGCAATTAAGCAATAAAATGTATGCACAGAAAATAAGTATATTGGCCGTTTATCACAAGTATGTATATAAGAGGTAGTCAGCCAGGTACGTGACTATTGAAGAAATAAGCTTGCCGTATCATAAAAAATAAATAGATAAGGGTACACGATTCAGCCGACTATAGCCTCGTACAAGACGACGAGGTTAGGTTTACTTTATCAAACCTTTTAGGTTTAGGGAGCATTTAAAGACGAAGCACTTGTTCGATTTTGATGGGCAGCATGAAAACTATAGTTTAGCTAAAGGTATCAAACAGGCAGCACGAATAGATATAATCTAAACAGTTTATTATGTGAAATGAAATGTATTAAGTAAGATCAGGTACGCATAGACCGCACTGATCTTTGAATTATTAGAAATAAATTATTTAGCTGACGGATTTAATTTAGGTCTTTTAGGCGATGTATTTTTACACATAAAGCCTTCCGGCTCTCGTAAAACTTTCCGTAATTCTTGTCGAAATTTTTCAATAAAATACGATCGTCGCGACTGTACCTGCATAACTGATATGTTTGTAGAACTACATTTGCCTAAAGCCTTCTTTTTGGTTTCGACCCAGCCTCCTGTCTTAAATTAAGGTTGTTAAATAAATTAAATTAGCCTAAATAAATATTGCTATGATTACATTACTTTTAGCTAATAAATGAAACGTCATTTTCATTTTTATAAACGTAACTAATTTAGCAACAGTAAAACTGCTAAACTAGCGTATTTTAAGTTGGGTGTATCAGTGTAACGTGTGCTTTATTCCAGCCAACTTTTTTTACATCGCCCTGCATGTTTTCTTTTAGTTATCTATATATTAAATGAAACTGTTGAAATAAAATTGTCCGTCCGAAATCAGAAAGCCTTTCATCGTCAAACAAACTAAGTTACAGGTTTATTGGAAAGTAATTATTTAAATTTTTCGCTCGGAAACGTTACGTATTATATGAAAGATTGATCTCGCTCAACTGTTCTTTTTTATTTGAAATCTAAGATCCCATGATATATATATATATATATCATGGGATGATACGTTCAGTTAAGTTAAAACGTGTTAGTTATTTTAATCGCAGAGAAAACGGTTTTGGTAATCTTGGTAACCAGGCTTGGATATTAATCGAGTCCCAATATCATAGTGATTCAAAGTTATTTCTTCGAATTCATCCGCGGGGGTAAATGATACAGTTCAATGTCTTCTTTTGTCCTTACAAGTTTTAACTCTTCTATGAACTGATTAACATAATCCTGATCGACGAGCTGCGAACATTCGGCCACAAGCGGGATCGAGCCGATTAGGAATCTGACAGCAGCAACGACATTCTGTAATACATACGTTAGTGATAATAATATGAAAAAATCACAACCAGATACGATGTAGCTCTCTAAAAAAGCTCAAAACTATGAGGAATAGAATAGTTGAAATCAAGTTATTAGTCGAAAAACTTTGAATCTTTATATGAATACAGTTACAATTTTATTGCGGCAATTATTGTAAGTTACTTCGAGAATACCTATTATTGTTTTACATGTGTTCGGTGGATTCCATATGCATTCGCAACTATAAGCCTAGTTTTTTTGTAAGCCTTAAATATACTAAACGGTTGTATTAATTTTTTCGTATCATATTATTTATTATAAAAGAAAATGTATGAATACATAATCAAGGTTTGTGAAGAAAGCTAAAAAGAGCACCACAATGTTGCTTTACTTCTTTTAACGAATTTCCAAGTAAGAAAGAACTACTATAAGAAGATTCTCCCATTGTCATTGTTATTACCTTGCCCGGTTTTCATCTGCTTGGGTATTTTAATAATACCCGTGCAGAGTGCAATCCTGATAAAACTGTCGACTTATACAGTGCTTACTTGATGCATTTTCCTGATATGAAGTGGCTTGATCGTACCTCATTCGGACACGCATGTAATTTGCTAATTCTAAGAATAAGTTTTGAGAGGGATATTTACCTCATCCGGAGATTCTTCTTTGTCACGCTTTGGTATTGCGGAAATTAAGTATTCGAGGCCGTCGAGAAGCTGACGTGACACGAACTTACATCCGCCACCGCCAATACGATTGTAGACCTTCAGGAGGCACATATACTTAAATAATATGAACTGATCAAACCAGACTTGCCTTTGCTCTACACAAAAATGAGATGCAATAACTGAAATGCTGGCATCAACTGGAACGAACTATGCCCATTTAAGATAAAGAATATGCTAAAACAAACATTGAAGTAACAACAACGGGCACTACTTGGGTCAAACATATGATTCAATAGGCCACAATGAAATACGTTTATTTGATATGAGTAGCGGTAGGCATAAGATGTTTAAAGCGAACTTCGAAGCTTTTTTCACATTTCCGAATCGCCGTTCAATATTTGAGGTCTAACCTTCAACATCCAACGCTTTAACTATTTACGGGCTCATTTTTCGTATATCTACTAAAGCAACTATGAAAAAATACAACAAGTTCGCGTGTGCAAAGCATAATGGAACATAATCTCTGTTTCCTTCCTGCTTCTTACCGTTTCCAATTTGGCACTGATCCACACGGAACGTTTAAGTAAGCAGACTATTTGTTTTATAAGCGTGCTGTGCAGGACGCGCACTGCTATTCGCGGCCCAGCGGCTTGGTCACGATCCTTGAACGTACTAACAAATCGTACTAGATTCATAAGGTCAGCGGCTTTTTCAGGCGAAAGCAAGAACTGTGGGTAGCCGTGAAAACACTTACGTTCTTGGAAGTACCTGTTATTTCGCACTTTTGTACAGTCAAGTTTTTCGAAAATCCTTCCGCTAACAACAGGTCTTCCTTCGCAAAGAGCAGGCAAAAATCGTCGGCATATCTTCGAATAACTCAAGTGCGCACTCCTTTCCTTATCTTCCTGAAATTTTATCGAAATCTGACATTGTTCACGTATAATAAAGGCCACGATAATTGCTGCCGCAAGTAAAGCCGAAAATGCCACCCGTAGAGGACCCGCTGCCCTGATAAATAATGATGGATACTGAATGCTTCGGCATAGGTTGTAACTTCCGTCCAGTTGCACGCGGATCTCCACCATCGCGACCGTCACTTTGATAAGTGCTGAATAATTATCGATTAACTCGTCGATCCTTGTGGACTTGATGGTCTCCGGGTAGCAAATGAGTGTATTGTATTCAGCATCGCATCACACCGACATTCATAGACGAGATTGCTTGTGTCCCCTGCTGAGACTTGAGACATTTGTGGTTAAATCCCTCAGTTCTGTTAACCGATTATGTAAATCTCTCACCTTTATTCCTAAAACTACAAATGACTACGTTATAAATTAGACGTTATGAACAGCTACATATTATAACAGAATGTTTACCAAGATCAGAAACATAGTCTTTTTTCACGTTTTTTTAATTTTCATAATCATCAGTGATCTCATACTGGAAAACATATCATTCACACATTATAATAGGCAATTTTTTTACACAGAAGGAAACTCAATTAAACAATTAATATACCATTGTTACTCCGTATGGCTTCTACCAGTCACTGTAAAACGCTTCTTTTGTTGCTGAGCGTTGATGCACCGTGTAATGTTGACGTTATACGATGCGTCGTATAACTTTAGATTGTTACAGACGTAGCAAAACAAAAAAATATCTGCTAAAATCTATAAAAGCGGATACAACAACATTAGCCTACGCAGGAATACAGAGTTGTATTAGTTAAGTATATATACGTTCGTTTATACATACTAGGTGGAATCGACTGCAGATAATTCCTTAGACGTTTAGAAATTAAATTTTCTGCTTAATATCTAAGTATTTTAACAAAACTTCAATAACAGAATATCCGAATAACATAAGACACGAATTTTCTTTAAATTAGGAACGATAAAATGTTACACAATAGCGCTGACATTTACAGATATATACATATATATGTATATACATATATTTCTTGATTTTGAACAAATGACCTATATATACTGTATAGTTAATATTTTATTCTATTTCAAAGTTCTAGGCTATACTAATCGACAATGGTTATCTATAGCGTGGAGAAGTTATATTTAGAAGTATTATTGTACCATTTCCTTTATCGGCATTAGGGAGTAAATATCGAACCTTTCTGTCATACTGAGGTTGCTAGAACGATTCTACAGGAGGCGATAATCATTTGAGTTCCGACATCTTCATTCGTTTTTGGAAGCCTGATTTTTTTGTATGAATTGATTAACACGTTTTTTGTTGACATATTGAGAACAATCGGCGACGGGTAGAACTAACCACAAATACCTATATTGTTATTAAAAACATTACAAGTAAATTGATGCTTAAATAAGAACTTAGCTAACACACACACATCACATTGTATATCATTTAGATTAATATAAGGAATCTTAGTTTAGCGCTCTGTGGTAATTAGGTACAATTAAATCGTGGCCGGTATGTGCTGTGTGGTGTCTGTAACTGAAAAAAGCTTTTTTTCTTGGTAACTCACTCCGTTTTACATTTCAATAAGATATGTACGCATGCTCTGAATTCGGCTCGTTCCGGGTTGGAATGAAAGTAACGTCATTCAAGAAGTTAGTTTTCGTTGTTGAAATCTTTTTATCCCTCATTTTTGTTATTTTAGAATAATTTTTTACATATAACAGTTAAAAAAAATCATACTTAACAAATCAGCAGAATTCGTGCTAGCAGGTACACCTGTTGTCGCATGCAACATTCAAAATTACGCTTCCTCTAATAGACCCCGTTAATGTGTCGATTCTACAGCGTGTCCCAAACAAAGTATATAATGTTTAGCAAGCCAGTATTCCCTGATTGTTTTTCCAGCCAGACTATAGTTAGTTAGAAATAATAAGTCAACCGCAAGAAGGTTTATTTTTAAATGCTATTCGAGGTATAACAATGTATTAGGAGCACAACGGTAATATTGCAGGAAGTTTCCTGCAAATACACGACTTACAATTAATTAGATAAAAGATAACTTTTAAACGGATAGAATTATTTAAGATTCTCGCGGACAGGATTCCAGACGACGACAAACATTAACGAGCTTCTGTACTGAAAAATTATAGTAACATATCTTGGTATTTTTAGGGATACTCAATCATAAGCTTCACATCAGCAACTTAGATGTGCATCGCAATTTAAAATGTTGCAAATGGTACCCGCAATTAAGAGGATTCGGACTGAAGAAAATATTATTGCCAATTTTAAAGAGTAAACGTGAATAGAACGTAGAGTTTTTGATAAAAACAGTTCGGAGCAATAAAACCAAGCTTATACTAATATATAATTAATCGACATAATTATAATTGTAAAAACTCACAGTACGGTGCGGCATCTCAAACAGAGATTTATTCAGACCTTTTTTTTTTTTTTTTTTATTTACTAGTATGGCGACTGGTGTCAACTGGTCTAATTTACTACAAAAGTCTGTTTTATTACGCCTGTAGGAAGACCTCGATGAAGATTGCGAATGTATGTCACTTTCGACAGGATGGGCCACCTGTGCACTGTCATTGTGATGCAAGAAATATCCTGATAAGAATCGTTTAAACAAATAGCTTGGGGATCTTATAAAATATCCCGCCCGTTTCGCTGATCGGATACTAACGGATCATTTTGCTATGGAGAAAAAGGCCTTTGCCAGAGAGCCGACGACGCTAAATAATTTCGGAGCTACAATTGAATACAAATGTGTCGCGATGCCGTATAAGGTGTTTGCTGAAATTTGTGAATCAATAGCTTACTATTGCCGGTACTGAATCGACCGGAACAGCAATTATTTCGTACATCTGTGGAAAAGAAGTTATACATTTTGTGTAAATCAAACTGAAGTGATAATCGTACAAATTGTGTATACATTTTCTTGAAATACCCGATATACGCACATATTTATTTGGTACCACTTTTCCTTCGGCGGTCATGAGCGGCGGTCATGAGAAATAGCTTTAAAGCTGAAAGGACATGTCTAGTATTTAACGCCGTTCACAGGCAACATTGACCCCTGTCGCGCTAATCAACGAAGGGTGAGTGATAATGAGTTCGTTGTACTTAACTTACTGGTAGTTTATGTTTGTGTAACGCCACGAAATCCATATGCTTTTCTGGCTAACCAGAAAGAAAAAAGCCTTTACGGATATGTGTCTTCACTTTATCGAATAAATGCGAAATTGAACTTCTTCTTATATCCCTTGAAGCGCTACCACTTTAGATATGTCAATTCTCGATAGGTAGACCTATCAGACCTGAAAGCTCATAAGGAGAGTAGACTCGTTGACTAACGGCTAAGGAGGTGAAAGAGATTGTCGAAAATAGGCTACAGGATTTCATGCTAAGTAAACTAACAATTCAGTACTACATCGACATATAAATAGGTGTGTTTACTCATCACTGGCAAGCATCCGACACTACAAAAGCATCAAGCAGAGATGGTCTCGAGTTGGTTGGACCAAGCATCACATCATAAATTATGACAAAGCTATTCGGTGATCTTTCGGCTATGATGGTGTCTATAGTCGACGGCTTTATCAATAAGAGAGATGCAGAGAAACACCATGAAAAGAATACAGCATTTTTAAATAGGTTTGAGGCTCCTGAACCCTATAAGAAGTTAGACTTAATGCAAACCCACCGAGCGGCATTTGAAGAACCCGTGATCGGTGTTTGACAGTTTCTCTAGCCTTGGATCGCCTTAACAGTGCCAGACTGTTACGTCTCCCGGGCGATGGCCGAGACGATAATTGCACAAGTTATGTGTTCGGATTCGAACATACGCGCGAAGTATTCTGATAAAGATGTTTCTCTTACGAAAAAGTATTTACACAGTAAAAGGATGATGGAAAAAAAAAAAGCGAAAAATGACATATATGAAGGTGGCGTGGTGCACGCACACCGTATGGCTCGCGTAATCGTGCCCAGAAAGAATTCAGAGTCGAAAGTTATGGCGCACTTTAGGCTGATAACTGGGCTATATATATTTAGACCGTTACATTTTGTCATAGTCGCGAGCTATTATAAAGTGAAAGCAGCACTGGTGAAATGCAGCCAACATGTGCATCCGCCATTCTCAGCAATAAGCAACAATAATTTATTTACGCGAACTGAAACAGAACTTCGAGCTGTGAGCAGAACGTTCCATACTTCATGTTCTTGGAGTACCCATATTGGTAAACAAAAACAATATTCCACTTTGAAGTCCAGTATGAAAACTGGTCGCTTCTCTAAGTTCTGCGCTGATAAAATTGCTTCTACGCATGTTTTGATATAATGAGATAGAAATATAGTAGCTGACACATGTTCATAGAAAACATTTGTATCAAGCCGATGCCGCAACCCGAGCCCAATTCAGAAACAAAGGATATTTGTAGATTAATAAATGATAACCAAAGTAGCTGCAGATCAGTGGCTAATCAGTTGCGTTAAGACAACAGTTGGGAAGTGAAATGCTCGAGCCAAACTAGACTCTCGTTTTGGATGTGCTTAGTATTTTTGCCAGAGAATAGCTGCTTTGCATCGGCTAGAGCCTTTGGTTGGAAGAGATTGTTCCTGCTCAAGTCCTCTCAACGCTATGTTCGTACAACTTTTGCACTTCCCAGATATATGTTTGGGTCATTAAGTAAATCAAAATTCTACCCAAAATCTACAAGATTTTTGCTACTTCAGATACTACCTAGATAGATAGAATTACAACCACGTGATAGACACGACATTCTAAGTTAAACAAGATGCTAATGAAATGCACGATGCAATAGAGTATGTACGTAAGGGGTTGCTAAGAAAAAACAATTCGGTTACCCAGTTGGCTAAACTTAACTGGACGAAAGCTGATCGATTAATAGAATACGATAATTTTCTCTGTGCGATGATAGGCTTGTAATCCGCAAGACATCGAGGTCGACGGTACGTGACGATCTGCACAGGAACCATACGGAAAGAACCAACATGCTCTGATTTGTAAAGGAATCCCCATATTGACTGGAACTCGCAATTGAGATAGATAAATAAGCGTTCTGGTAAGAATGCCCGCGATATGCCCTACCTCACCTGATACTTCGGCTAACAAAGGCTATGGATCTATCAGGAAGGAAAGAAAATACGTCCATTTAAGGTATTTCTAATTACCTCCATTAAAACTAAGGCATATCTAGTAACAGAAAATTATATTCTTTTAAAATCCAGCCCAACTTAGGCAAAGCCATTTGATAAATGCTGTAGGACTGGTCGATAATTCATCGCGTACCGGAAGAAATACATCCTGTTTGCGGCCATTTTCCAGTATGAACTTGCCTCGGTCTTCGGTTTTTTCTTACCTACCCAAATTAAGAATAAGTTAATGACTTTCTAAAAGGTATCCAAATATATATATATATATATATATGTGTCGGTCTCTTGCGAGTTTGGTCAAACATAGAGGGCAACTTTCCATTTAAAAGGCGGTTAGATCATTGAGATCGATCTTAAGTAAAAATAAGTTTATAGTTAGCAAAAAAACCAAGGTTTCCGTTTATGACCTGATACAATTTGATGTCTCAAAATTCAGATTATTTGTATTATAGGTTTCGGGTTAAAATAAAAACATAATGATGGGAATAGAATTCAGGAAGCTGCGAGCATTGTGAACTAGGTAACGCAAATTTTACCGGTCGAGTTTCCAACACAAGTTTCTTCCGATACTTGTTTTGAATGGCCGAACTTATAGGTGCACCCATGATTGGCTAAACAGCTGGCTCAGACATGTAAACGTTGCTCACTTTTCTAGAAGTATAAAACTACAAAACGCTTGTTAAAATCAAGTGAGACAAGGTTTGAGCCTTTCAGGCCTTATATATAAGTGTTTAGCGTAGAATTTCCCAGAATTATTAAAAAATAACTTATCAACATGTGGAAAGTTAAACGTACGTTTACTATATATGCATCAAAGTTAAGTACGCGTAATACAAAATCATAAATCATCCTCATCATTGTCGACTGCATTAGGGAATTATGCATTCATGCCAGGCACATCATACAGTTTCCAGATTAACGTTCATCCACAAAATCCTTTTCAACACTCACATGAGTTGTTCTATAAAATCATTGTCTAGCAGTACCTCAACTAAAACATTCTTAGCTGCTGCCTACAGGTACTGGGCCAGAATTGTTAGGATTGTGATCTTCTTTCTCGAATAAAAGATCGTTCAATGGCCGAAAAAAAATATAAGCTTTCCAAGAAAATCATCATCTTGCAATTTCGGGTCGTCAAGTTTTGAGAAAACTCGAGGTATCGAGAATATGTTTCTACTGCACTTAATCGGTAGATATCTCCGGCAGGCTACAGCGTAGCTCAGGTATGAAACAGCCTTTAGTAGATCACGAGGTTTATACTTGTCATTCGTAACGTCAAAAATGTTATTAACAGTGGATAGACCATTATCTTAGGTGAGAGTAGTGGCCAGGAGTTTTTGGGTAGGCCAACGTTCCGACCCAGCTGTTTTTGTACGTCCAGCATTGCATATGACCAATCCGTCAGTTGTGGGCTAACTGATATGGTAGGCTAATGTCTCTGACTACATATTAACTGTACTTTGTTAGCATATCCCTGCGGACTAATTGCTAATAGATGCAATTTGCCCTTTTACTATTACCTCTTAAAACGTTCGCGGCTAGAACTAACACCCTTATTCATCAAACCTCTCCAACCATATATGTTAGACGCAATCGATGCCTTAAGCCGCACCGTAGGCTGCGGCATAAGATCAGAGAATGTCTACGGCGTTCGTCTTAGGCAGCCACTGGCAACTTATCTAGCATATTATGAACAATGAATGGTGACAGAATAACTTTTTACATGGAATTTATTTTTCCGAAAAGTCATAGTTTTTAGTTTAAAATAATTGCGTAGCTTTTTTCCAATATTTTCAAATATTTTTTTAACTAGCATACATGGACATTTTTAACAATACATGTCTATATCGTCGACAATTGCTAAAATGCGAACCAGTTTGCATCATTATTTCAAATATCCTCAAAAAAAAACTATGAAAACTATCAGTGATGCCAAGTGTGCCGTAGCAACATGCGATTACAATAGTATCACACTACTGAGCTAAATGGATCTTTGTGATGAGGACTATCAACCGCAAATCTGTTTCATTATCAGCCTCAACTGCTTCAGGTCTAATTTTTATTGCTGTACACATTTAAGTAACACAAACGTCGATTGTAATTATATTACAAAGTACATCGATTATAGGGTACCCTTTTTTTAGCTTACAAAACTTGTTTCGCTCCAGAACGGTCTTAGATTTCTTTTAGAAATTGGAATTTAGAATAAAAATTAGATGTCTAAAATTTTTGGCTGACATCGAACGCTTTGTTATATAGAAACAATTCTTGACGTGTACCTCCGTAATTCTGTTTGTATAGAAGCGCTGAAATAATCGGTACTAGTCCACTGTCATCTCTCGAACCGTATGTGTGTTACAAAAGAGCGTATGCTATAAATATTTCAATGTAAAGTTTGCCTACAACTTTGACAGGAAAAATACTAACAAATCGCTTTATTTATTAACAACTGGGAAATAATAAATTATTATTTCACGCTTGTAAATTAATTGGTATAGATATCAATAGGACAAAAATAAAAGAACATTTATTGGTGTGTTGCATGACGGAATATGCACGCGTAATAGAGTTAACACAACGATTGAAAAATATTACGGTCAAATGCATAAAACAGTCAAAATGATCATTCAACAGCCAGATTTACTAGTAGTTACCGCGTTATTATAGTCTCCCGTCCTTGACAAAAATAACCTCGTTTATCAAAAAATTTGATAGCATCTAAGCGAGAAAAATTTCATGTCATCATAATTCATTCTATACCGAATATTGTATTTAAATCTTCCTGCATTTATTTTACTGAATAATTAAGATTATATTAATAATTAAGAAGAAAATTACTGAATAAATAAGAAAATAACTTCTTTTTGATCTTGTTGTTCTTAAGATCAATGTCAAGAACAAGGGTTTATTTAAAGATTGTTATTTCAACATTAAATAAGAGGCGAAGTGCGGCAAATTCAGCAACTTTGATTACATAGTTTAAAATCAGTTTCTTTCAGGTTTGACAAAAATTTTCCTCAGTTTATAGTTTATCTTCCTTTATTAGACAACCGATTTCTGTAAAGAAGAAATTCTTCGTACTAAAGTTGCCTGTTGTCACGACAAGCTCAGAAAAACGTATAGGCAATATTATTCTACCGCGCAGTCTTTTCGGATTTCTTTTGTGTTGTTGTTATGGTTGATAAAAGACGGAAATCCTGATTGTGATCATTTGGGTTATTATGGCGCGTCTGCTACTAGGGTATACAACACACGATGTCATCACATTGAGCCGACTGGGTTTCTAGCGTCAGGGGTAAGCTAACAAGCTAATATTTGAATCCTACAATTAAAAATGTTTTTGTTATTAAATTATATGTAGCTAACAGTTTTTACGTATTTTATAGTGTCACTTTCATCTGTTTTTATATATAGATACATGAATAAACATGACTGAGCTTTATTAATAGGGGCGTGCGCGACAGAATTCAAAATCGTGGCATGATTCTACTTTTATTCAAAGCAACTAACAGTAAAAACGTTGCCTAATTAGTGTCATAAAAAAAATTCGTATGTTTTTGGATTATCGTGCGATGGCAAACAAAAGCGGTTCCGAGACTGCGATAGAAAGTAGTATGGGTATTCTTTAAACACGGATAGAATGCTGAACTTATATTGCGTACTGAACAATCACATGAAACGCTTAGGACTCTCAGACGCTGCAATAGAGTTTTATTAAATTATCATCCAGAGCCTGACTATAATGAAAATTTTCGAGAATAAGGATTGGCTGCGAGGCCGTGTGTGAACCTAGAGAGTTCCTGTAGCACTGTCCATAAACGATATCCGTGCTGGAAAGCTTGGCAGCTTGGGAACGGCTTTGTTATTCTTTATGCGTTAGTAGCCATAATGTAGCTTACGTCAGGTAATATTTCTTTACAGCTGTTTTTACCGCATATACATATATCCGCCAATATATTCTGCTTCAAATATACTAGCTTGTATTTTCGATTACGTCGATACCTAAATAGTTTTGAAAAAGTATGAAAGAAACAGGCCGTAAGCGTCACTCGATTTGATGAGTTCGACCTTGTTATGTTCCGTTACATTTATTTGTGTGTCTTGACACTTTCGTTCGGTTTAGTCGGTTTTACAACAGCATTGTGGACGGGTCACCAGCTCAAAGCTTTGTATTTGAAAATAATTCATTTAAGTAATACGTATAGCGTTGTTAATAGAGACTGCTTCAGTGCATTAAGAGTTATACAGTAAGAACTATTTCGTGGCGCGATACTTCTTTAGATTTCACGTATGTCTTGAAACTATCTACATGAAAAAAGTACTTACGCCTTGCCTCATCAGTATAAAAAAGTTTACAACGAATTTTTCATTATAACGCGTTTTATACGTGTAGTAATAGGCGAAATGAAGGTTGCAGTGTTGTTTCTAAGTAGTGTAATGATTGAATAACATTGTTTAACATTATTATAACAATATTATTCTTCTGATATTTTTTTAATAATATATTATAATTTTTCATAGATGGCGAGCGAAGTGGAAAAGGCTAAAACTGCAACCCCCGGTGGAGACACGATTTTCGGGAAGATTCTTCGCGGCGAAATCCCCTCGAAGTTCATCTACGAAGATGACAAGGTAGGTCTCATTAGATGTCCGCTATGTCATTATTATTATGACTTAAGGCGCTACTCAATTTTTGAAACTCCAAAACAACTTGAACCAGCAATCCAGTGGGATGTTTAATTCAATCTATTCATTGACTGTCAAATTCAATATATTCATTCGCATCAAACATTTTTGTTTAGTCGAGGGCATTGCTTAGTCGATAGCTTGTGCCCATTAGGAGTAATGCATAAACTTACAAAACGTCTATTTGATCTGTTACAGTGTGTGGCGTTTCATGACATCAACCCTCAAGCGCCCGTTCATTTTTTGGTGATCCCCCGTAAGGCGATTGCTCAACTTTCGTTGGCTGAGGAAGAAGACGAAGCGCTCCTTGGGCACCTGCTCTTCGTCGCGCAAAAGGTGTGCCGTTGTCTTAGTGTTTCATTGTTATCAGGGTAGCATATATTTACAGAATATGTGCTTCCTTGATCAAAAATCATTGTTAAGAGCAATAAAAAAACACTATCTATTTATCTAGAAGTTAGTTATAACGTGATTTTTACGAATACTAATAGCTGACTATCAAAAACGTACAGTTTGGGTAATTTTTGATATTTCTACGTGTGTCCTTTATATGAAATTATGTAGGTGGCCAAGCAGCAAAACCTGGTTAAAGGGTTCCGCATGGTGATCAACGACGGCGTTGAGGGATGCCAGAGTGTCTACCACTTACACGTGCACGTTCTCGGAGGACGTATGCTTAACTGGCCTCCGGGCTAATGTGCGATCAGAGAGTTGCTATCTGTTTCCTGAAAGTAGATACGGCCCAATAAATTGACAAGTAAATATTTAATAATATAATAACTATTTAAAAATTACATATATATATATATATGATTGATACGGACTAGCATGCGTTTGCAAATGAGATAGCGAAGTGCAGGTGCAATATGATAATACGTTCGATGAAGTATGGCCGTACCTATTGGAAATAAATACCACGATATTTCTAGTATTGACTCTTCCTTCTGCTTCAGTAATTCGGTTAGCCGACAGCAGCAGCAATACGGTCGCCAAACAAGGTGTTGGCTAAAAAAATTGTACTAATAAAATATATACGAAAGCAAAAGGCATACAGTACCTGTAAAGTTTTAATTCACAGTAAATCGTCTGCAACGAAAATCATATACAACCTATAACACACGAGCAAATACATCAGCTTATTACATGTACAAGTAAACTTAGCTGTCAAGATATTTGTCTTATACAAACCAGATCTGATCATATTTTCTGAAACGTGTTCTACCTACGGGCGGTTGTTTTTTTTTAATACAAATGTTACTCAGTACAAATGAATGTCTACGCGTAAGAAGACTCCATAGTACTTCTAGCATTATGCTAACGATATTACATTATCGGAGAAGGAAAGAAGGCGTTGCTGCCTGTCTCGCGCGGTTTTACGGGTCTTTAATGCTGCCCGGCTCTGAGAGTAAAAATTTCTGAAAAAAGGTTTTAAGGCCTTCTTTTCGATCGCCTAGAAATTTATTGCTTATACGTGAATAAAATATATGACTTCGGAACGATAATTACGGGACCATTTTCGTGTGGCTTACAAAAATTAAAAAAAAGAACAATAATTCTGTTTGCCTAGAAATTTTAAACGCTAATCCACTCGAATTTTTATGACTTAACACTAAAATTATCAGAGGACACTTGCATAGAATTTACCACATTTATTTTCAAGTTTGCCTTTGAGAAAAGGCTTGTTCTATTATTTTACCTTATTTGTTAATTGCATATTTAACTGTTCACAAAAAATCCCGTAAGGCCCATGAAAAAAATCTTCGAAATTTGTTCCGAAGTCTCGCTCAGTTTACCAGTAATTCTTCTGGAATCTTCGTAAACGTTGAAAATTATGACGAGAGATCAAATTAATGAAGCCTATTTTTTTTTATTAACTGGGCAACTCAAAACATTAATGGATTATTTGATACGCGCTGCTATGATCAGAGTAAAAAAATGCTTGCGTCGACTACCCGAAGAGATTTCAAAGATAGACGTACTGAATGTTGCTCCGTGAGTACACTTGATATGATAATAGTTAAATATAAGCAAAAAAAAGTAAAAATTGATAAAAACAAGACCAAGAATTACACTTGAAGAACATCTTAGAGGGAATTACTTTTCAATTTAAAAACGTGACCGATGAACGAGTTGTCAATAACGAATATTATAATTAATATCGGGTTCCCAAAAACGGTGGTGTTTAGAGTAAATCCGCTAAATAATTTAATGAACTGTTGGTTTGTCACTTTCTTAATCCAATAAATCAAGTAATTAGTCCGGTCTCTAATAGAGTTATTAAAATATACAACCAGTTGTTGTAAGTATCAAAGAAGTACGTAACATTCAAAATGACTCCGACCAGTGCTCCCCATATTTAGAAAAATTGCCTCAAGATTCACTATTACGACGTCATGTCAAAACACAGCTTCATGAATTATAAGGTCATACTACAATTTCGTAAACATATAGACTCTGATTTAACAAGTTTACTGATTTTTACCGATCTCAACTAATTATATCACAATATAACTTGTTAATCTTTACACCAACATTTTTATTATAATGCTATTTCACTGCCAATAAACTTATTACACTCGTTATTCTTCCATTGAATGTATATTTGAGGCTAACAATCTTGGAAACTAGATGCGGCAGTGTATTATTAGAGGTAATTTTTTCGAATTTCCCGCTCAAAATTTGTTACGTCGAGAATGAAAAAAAGAAAGTGAGAGAGGATCAAAACAATTTTAGCATTGGTGCAAATTTGCGCGCCCGGCGTGATCTGATAGCATAATTTCTAAATTATTTGTCGTCCCTAATTAAAAGATGAGCTGCCACGTGCCAATAATAGGCGGCACGTGGATGTTATGAAATGTGTTGGATAACCTCCCATTGCCGATGGCTTAATGGCGTATCACGACGTCCGGCATGGTCTAGTGGTTATGATACGTGGCTAGGATACGTTGCTCTTACCCACGAGGCCCGGGTTCGATTCCTGGTGTCGGAATATTTTAAATTTTCTGCCTCCTTTTTACACTTGTATTCCAATGATTATTTGGGGTGACTAAAGAGCCTCATGTATAATACAATGCGTCTTAAGTTATTGACCATTGGCAATTGTGTTGTAAGGGAAACAACAATGGCAAACCGGTGATAGATAAAACGTTAGCGCAGGTGGTATTATAAGCTATATTTGGGTAAACTGCGAGTTTGGATAAAACGCAAATAATAAGCCTGCGCGTCTGCATCATATTTTAAGGCTGCTACTTCTCTGCACTATACAACGTTTAGTCCAATATACAACAGGAGAATATAGGAAGAATGCGTTTGTAACGTGTGTTAGCCATGTGAACGCGTTTTTTTCTTTAATATTTGGTATTCAGACCCAACAATTTGTCATCGAGGTATCGCTTTATAATACAAAATATATCTACCTAACATAAAAAATATATAAAATATACCTAACTTTATGTATGAAATTCTCTATTCTATAGGGTAGCCATTGTAGATCTCTTTAGCGTAAGTTCGACAACATTGTGAGCTAACGGTGTGGCATAAACGTACCACTCTGTGATATTCACTGATTTGCTTCGACTTCGATGTGACTTTTGCAGCTGTGATACCTACAATGTGGTCTACATTCATGTCCAAAACAAAAATAGGCCTGTAAATGTCTGCACCTGTTTCAAGTGTCTTTACTGCCGTAGCGTTTCTAAAAGCGTTATAAGCCTGGGCTAGCGGTTTTTGATAAACTAGTTCGGCTAATGCAGATTTTACAGTAAGCCTGGAAACGGAAGCGTCCGTCTTCAAAAATAAAGGCATGCTACCTACCACTTAACATAGATGATCGAAAATGTTTCTTACCATGGCATAAACAGTGAAGAAATTTGCAATATTACTAAGGTTTCCCAGACTTAATTAACCCTTAAAAAATTTACGACCCATGATATCGTCTTTCATGGGTCTAGGAAGAGGGATTTTTCTAGGAAGAGATCTCGCAATAATTCTTCTTAATTTTTGAAAGAATCTCACACATGTTTTTAGAAAAGATTAAATTTGAATTATTTCTAGAATTCCGAATATATTTAGTTTTATTATATGACCATTTCGGTGTCGTATAGTTGACTGCTGCTTTGAGATTACCGGGAAACGTTTTCGTTCAGCATCGTTATTTATAATTACATTACAATACTTCGGCCGAACAGGCTACAGCATACGAATCAATTTTTTGCGAGAATAAGTGCGTGTATTTTTCAGCTTAAGTTAATGCATTCTCCATCGATATCAGGTGATCTAGTGCATTAGGCTTCGGATAACAGGTAAGATTGTTTGGAACCCTGTAGAACACCTGTAAACTTGGCTAGGCAAGACGATGTTTTATAATCACTCAGCTAGCTGAGTTAACAGTCACCATGCGTGTACTAAGGCTTATCGGTAGGTTGTGTCTTGTTTAAGAAGTTGCGGGGAGCAGTGCGGGTATGCGGGATGTGCGCATCGTTCTTCACAACCAGTTGGACTACACTAAAATCTTTAGCAGCTTCATAGTATTATGGAATATCTATGGTTAATTATGATTCATAAGCATGGTCATTCTAAGTGTAATGCACGTTTTAGTGATTTTATCTTGTTTTGATAATTAATCAAAAATAAGGCAGCTATTATATAAATATATACATGTTAAATATGTACATCATAACGCATTACAATCATGGTTAAAATACAATGTACAGAATGGTCGTAATCCACATTCCGAATGCTCTTTTTTTCGATAATGGACGCGTTACCGCTGCACAATAACTCATGGGTTGTTTGCAAGTGTTTATCGATCATTGTTCCTACCATTAGCGTTTACTCACAAATAATGGATGTCCATCCGTACCGTAAATAATATGAGGCTATTGTTGCGAACGAAATAAATTATAATAGCAGCTAGCCTACTTTGAATAAAAACTTACGACCGAAAAAATTGATAAATACGAAAATTTTTCTTTATTCATGAATGTTATGTGAATGTGCGTGCCGATGCATTGAAATTAATAAATAACACCTACAACAAACTCGAAGGAAGACTTACGTAAAACCTTTTTGTAAGCCGTGATTTTGGGGACCGCAAACACCACTGCAGCACTGCTTGTTAAGCTCTATAGCCATTAACAATGAAGGAAATAGAAACAACTTGTTTGATCAGCTACTTGAAATGAAATGACAACAGTAAATTTACATAAACGTTAGTACGTATGAGGACGAAAAAGCTACGTTTTCGGGAGTCGAATTAATTATTTGCTGCACATTTTCGATCATAGATCCCAATTGTAAAAGGATAATCTTTAATTTGAAACTCTTTTCCAAAACCTCCATATCCGAGCTATTTTAAAATAGATAGGACTGTTACGAGCGAATTATTTCACTAGCTTTCCCTTGGCTCCCGGATTAACCTCCCCATTTCTAAGTTTCTCCTTTCCCTATTATAGCTAAAGTCATCCGTGCATAGTTCATACGAACTGAATGAGTACAACGCAGTCGACTGGCATGGTAACAATGCTTATATTTATATGTACTACCCGGTTTTATAAGTGTCAGAGAAATTAAACCTTTTATTTTGTTTTGGCCTACGACGGTGACTCACACATTGCGGTTGTTGGCACAGAGTGATGAAAATAAGTGCTAGTTAGTTACAAACACCATTAGCTGCTACGAGGAATTCCAAGGTATTCAATGAAGGGCGACTTCGTTGCGCATTGTATACGCATTGTGTGAGCTTGAGGTCAACAGCTATTCGTGGGTAGAAGTTATTTCTTCAAATTTTTTTTCAAAATTTCAAATTTCATTTTTTCAAAATGAAATTTGAAAATCAAATTGAATGGCATTTTAAATCACTCGTTTGGCTATCTAGCCAATAATATATAGACCAACGTCATGAACACAACGTTATTAGAAGTAGCTGCGCCTTACTTAAAGCTAACTGGTAAAGATACTTCCTGTTCAAAGCTAAACATGCATACATTCTTTAGGTTGTATACGAAACTCGGTATTGCCGACCAGGTAACGGCTAATTACAATATAGCCTTGGTGTTCTTAGCATTACTGTGATTCAATACATTTGTGCTAACATGTATTGATGGGCATCTTTCTAAAGAGCATTTAATTATTTGTTCTAATTATTTATGAGAGTCATATATAAGAACGTGCATGTTGATGACAACTTTACTCATGCACAACTAACTGGGAAGAATGAAACGTCTGACAGGATGCTAAGCATTTACATCGATTGGGCATAAATGCTCCAAAACTATCTGCGTAAAAATGACTCTGAAAGCAGCACTGGTACAGATTTATTCCTGCGTTATGCCGCAGAATTATATAGTTGTGACAAATATCCATAAATGGGTCTCCAAATCAGAACTTCCGCGTAATTAAAACCGTTTATTAGCGACGAACCGTTTTTTAAGGGCAAAACATAGGTAGATTAAATGTGATGCAGCAGATTTAATTGTCATAAAGGAAGAGGCACTCGGTTAGCATGTGTCAATTCGGCTTACTCAAGCTCTAAGTCGAAGTATAAGGAATGATATACGAGAAATGGGTACTTTAAAGGTTGTGGTATCTACCGACGATGAAAATATTACTATGTAATCGTACAAGTGGAGCTATGAAGTTCAAGTATAACCAGTCACGTGTCTACAGTCTTGCAGGTTTTGAAATGTTAACGAGTCATATGATATTTTCCAAGGTGACTTGCTTTGTGTTTGTTGTTTCTGCTTTAAATTGCTCTTGCCACCGATATGATTTTTGAGTTTATTTGATAAATATAATTAAGATTATCATAATGCTTTGATTAATGCTTATTACTTAATGCTTAATGAATCTGAACATTTCAGCTTACCTAACGATGGTCACATATTGAGACTGTAATTGAACACGGTACTACTGGACAACATGATATTAGCAGTTACTTTGCACAAACATGGAAATACTAATGAATATTTGTGTACGTTTTTTTACCGGTCTGCTGTTTTTTCAAAACTATATTTAGGCCAAACCAAAAGCTAAAAAGTTATTACTCGCAGTTTTTCAAACTACAAATAAGTTAGTTTTAGTATAGTCTACTACTCATGAGCGAAACTAAGCACTCTTGGCTAGTTCTGCGAGGCTTCCCTTAAGCTTAGATGAGATATACAGTTTGAACTTACGGGAAATTTACATAATGTGAGCACTGCACGGATAGTTTCTGTGCTACCGTAGTGATAGCATTCTAATTTCTATAGTAAGTTAGTTTGCTGTTAGAGAGGCCCGTTCGACATTTCTTTCGCTAAAGCCAGTCTTCACTGGTTGTGTTACACCTAGCCTAGACAGCAACGGCGTATGACTGTCCAATTCGCCTCAAAAAAAGTAAACAGTGAATAAGTTCCGTCAAAATGTTTTTACATACCAGATACAACAATTTTGATTTTTTTTATTATATGAGCTTTGATACTGTATATTCCATGCTGTGTTTCGTTTATGCTAGGTGCTACGATAACATCCTAGCAATAAGTAAACAGAAAATAGAAATGATGGATAATTTCAGTCACACCGTGCCAGCGTTATTGCCGATTGGCTGGTTCCTAAGTAGTATAAACAAATGATTATATTTATTATAATGTTAACAAATGGTTTTAGAAAAAAAGTGTATTGAATATATTTGTTTGTTTATCAACGGTATATACTGTGTATATTACATATAAATCCCTAACACTGATAGACTTAACACAAATAGCGCTTGCCGAAAAATCCTATGATGAATGTTTTGTCTACCGAATGTAGTAGAATGGAAGATAACGAAACCAAATACCATTTACTATGTATTTACATTTGGTTATCAGTTAGAATTGCAAATCGGCTTATGGGTTGTTTCATACGACACCTTCGCAGATTTATTGATTTAAAGTGCAACGTATTGTGTTTGACCATGATTGCAGCGTATTTGTATGTTTGCTAAGATCGAAAGTTCTCGTGAGAGAAATAGAGAAGGGAGAATAACACCAGACAAAAGTACCTTAAGCCATACACATTGTTATATTAGAGTACCGTCACGGTTTTTATGTATGTGATATTCCTTATAATAATGGACAGCCACCGTAGTTACATAGGCCTCAGCGCAAACACTCTGCTTCAGGGCCCACTTTGATTAAATTTCTCTCAATTTTCGAACAAAATACGGCGCTTGCATATGCCAGTATTCGAGCCATTCATGACCAAGACTTCATACGGCACAGTAGACTAAATAACATAAATCTATAAATAAAAAAAATAAAGGTTGTCCATTATTTATCTAAATTTTTGCTTAGGTAGCCCTGCCATACCTTACGAAAAATTATCAAAATAAGTTCCGCTAGTTACTTTATTACAGGTATCAAAAATATGAAATGAGAGAAATTTTTAAGGTTCTTTGAGGTATATTAACAAATTATTCGATTTGCAGTTCTCTAAAACATAGCATACTCCTTCAAAATTTTATTTTGAATAAGTAAATCAGTCAAGAAACTTTCCTAGAAGGAACGCTAGAATAGGTTAAACATCGCGTGAGGTATTAATTGGTGAGCGTCGTTGTTATTCAAAGGCTCCGCCCTTCGACAATATATGAATGTACTCGTGGCACGGTAAATACTAATTGATAGATTCGTCTCTTCACACAGGGAAACTGAACTTAACATGAAATAGCACTATATCGGTAGCCTCGTTGTCAACCTCTTAGATAGTGAAATTTTTTTTCATTTTATTATATCTTCGCCGCTGGTAGAGTTTCAGATGATTATCAAAACTAAAATTTACCACATACCAGCGGCTGTTGACTGTCAAAAACACTGAAGTTAAATGCAGATGAAAGTATTTTATGGTGATATCAACATTCGATATTGGTCGAAACTATTTTCAAGTATATTACTAAATTAAGGTCATAAAATAATATGGTACACGTTGCTGCTAAATTTAATACTTAACTCTACATGAGTGTAGGCTAGTTGCAATTGCTGGATTTCCATTTGCACAGGTTGAAAAGATTACAGGTTTCTACTCCCGGCTATATAGGATTCTTTGAGGCATCAATCGACAACTCAGCAGAGCTTTATGTTTCTAAGCAAGTTCAAATTCCGAATGCTTTGGTTTACAAATATGATTGGCACTGGGATATAAGTTTCATTTTAATGATTAGTGTAGACTACAAAGGAAAACACATATTTTATTGGAGTAAATTTAATGACATTCAATTAACACCTTTACGAGAAGCAAAATGTAAAGTTTTAACCGTAAATATTGACCAGTTCTATATCACGGTCATCTTCAGCTAAAAAATAGGAATATATTTTAGGAAATTTCTAGATTATGAAAATTTGTAGCCTCCTTCCATCGTATTAGTTGCTTCCGCCGCGCGAAAATTCTGCAACTTCGTTAGTTAAAAACTTTTAGTTTTGGCTATTGATAGTTTTAGCTGTCGGAGTGCTGGTTACTATTATTGTTTTAGTTCCCGTTGTAGGGGTTTCATCGATTGACTGAACTCCTCTTTGTACCTTCATCTCATTTTAACACTCAGACAATTTTGATAATTTGTCTATATATGTCATTGGCATACGCAAAGCACTTCCCACGCACTTCGATAATTATGATAAGATAATTATAATAATTTTAGGACTCAGTGTTCATATATGTATAGATCTTTAAATATATATTTGTATTTTAACTGTGTATGCATACATGTCACTGGTCATGTTTAGAGCTTGCGTAGCGGTCAATACTCGTTGCATGACTTCATGACATGGCTTTTCTTATGTATTCTAGCTTTGTTTTGACAACGTACAAATCACCCAACCCATAAGCGAAGTGACCTATTGAGGTGGAGGCGGCTGTTTGTACGCTTCCGTCGGATATTGCTGAACAAACGCGGCATAATTTTGAGGCGGTTGTGGCGGCTGATATCCAGGCGGCATACTGTACGGATTGTAGCCCGTTGGCATAGGCACCTGGTACATGGGATAACCCGCTGGATATGGATAAGTATAAGCTGGTTGGGGCATACCCGTTGGCTGGTTAGGATAAGGCAGTGGCGCTGTAGTGGGGGAGGACGCCGGTGCAGAACTAGTTGGGGCTAGCTTAGGTGTCTGCGATGCCTGATAGACCGGCTGCGTCGGTGGCAGTGAACCTGCAGGCAGCGAAGCTGCCTCAGCCAGGGTCTTCGTCAGATCTTTGACCAACTCCTCCTTCTCCGTCTTGCGGGCGAAGCAAAAGTCGTTGACCTTGGTCTGGTGGTTCAACAGCAGGTTCGTGAGTTCCCCGTAAAACTTAAGGCCCTCGTCGAGATTGCCCATGATCTCGTTAAAGGCGCTATGGGCGGCGGCCAGATTCTTGAGCATATCTTCACGCTTATCTCCACCGCCGCCTATGCGTCGAGTGAATTCTTGATGAGCACTTTGAATCTGAGAAATCAGCGACTCTTGTGTGGATAGAGACTCTCGAACCCGCTGCTGTAGCGCACCTAAAGCCTGGCCAAGTGCTTCGGCTGTCATTGCCGCCTCGTTAATAGCGCCGTCTGCTTGCATTGCTTGCAAAAACTGTTGCTTTATATTGACCGTTGCTGATTTTAGCTCAAATTCGATAACTTCCCGCTCGCTGGTCAGTCGGTCAACCTCTCGCATAAGTTTGCGCAGGGTCGTTACCTCTGGCGCGGTTGTGCATGCAGTACCGGTGCTGCCTTGAGGTATGTTACCGCTCAATTCGTTTTCCGATCCTCCAAGCAGTACGATTGAGTAGCGGAACTTTTGAAATTTCTCTTGCACGACCTGATCGGCTACTACCGCTTTGTCGATAACACTACGGTATTTGTTCACAGTCTCGCGCATGGTCTGATTAAGCTTAGAAGACGGCAGGCGTGTCCATTTTTCCTTGAACTGATTTTTCATTATTGTATCTGACTGTTCCTCATCGTCGAGCATTCTTTGCGATTCGTCGATGATCTCCCGGTTCCGTTGAAGCTGCGGACCTAACTCATTCATCTTGTCTTCCAGAGCCTTGATACCACCCTTACTGCGAATCTCTTGCGCCTTTTGCTGAATACTGGGTGGCAGCTGCGCTCCACCGGGCACATCTTCGATGGCCGCAGGCAGGTTAAGTGAGGCGAGGACTCCGTTTAGTAGCTGCGTGGCTTGTTTTAGTCGACCAATCTCTTCGTTTACTACCTCGCTTTTCTTTGCCTCTACCTTCTGACATCCCTGTGAGACGGATACCGGAAGTAGAGACTCGAACAGATCTTCACGCTTGTCACCCTGCGTCAGAGGTGAACTGAGTGCGATTGCTTTGGCCAAAACGGCCGGTTTGATTGTACAGAGCTGCTTAACTTCAGGAATACGGGCATGGTAGATGAAATCGTTATCTTTCTTCGTTTCTTCGTAGTAGCGATTTGCTCGCCGTTGAATGTCAAGGAAATGGTCACCGATTTGTATCGACGTCATTTGGCCCTTTTTCGTCTGGACGATCTTGAAGTTGTCGAGCGCAACTTGCAGTCGTGCAAGCTCTTCGCCTACTTCTTTTTCCGCACGAGCACTCATTGCCTTGTGATACTGAGTGACCGCCCGAAAAGCAGCTTCTTTAAGCTGTACGATCGTGAACCACTCTCGATCCCACAGGCCACGAAGCTGCTCCCTGCTCATCAACTTGTTCGCATCCGTATAAAGCTCTTCACACTGACTTGCAATTTGAGCTAAGAGCACGTCCCTTTTACCATCCTTAGCTGCTTTATGGTAGAAGCATTCCTGCGCTTGAGCGACACACAAAGTGTAAAGCACAGTTAGGGTATCAGGATGAAGATCTGCTGTCAGGCTGTCTTGGGTGATTGTCTGGGCTGATGACCTAAGATAGTGATAGACACCAGCAGCCATCTGAAAATATTTTGTAGACGTCTTCAGACACTCATCATCTGTCGTATCGGCTCCTTGACTGGCCGCGATCTGGCTCAGCATTGCGCCGTAATTAAACAGGATGCAGCTTTTCTCATAGCCTAGGCACATTAGCGTCAAACTACTCGAACTTCCGAAAAACCCTCCTTTATCAAAGGCATCCTTCCACTTGAATGGAATTTGTACGTCGTGTGCGGGAACTTTCGATTCAAGTGACACCAACTGATCGTAGTAGGTCGACATGGCATCCACGGACGACTGATGTTTGTCGAGTGTTCTCCATGTTGCATTTTTACGCATCGAATTTAAGGTTTGGAGGGCCGCCTGATACTCTTGCTGCTCATCTTTGCCTGTATATAAACTCGAAAATACCTGTGTTAATGGTTTGATTAGGTCAACCTCCGAGGTCTTTTTAAGTGGTATAGCAATGTATCCTGCCATAACTGGGCCGCTGGCTGTTGCCAGTTTTTTCAGAAAGCTGCTCTTCTGCTTCCCGACACCGCCTACAAGTACTAGAGGAAACACTTAGAACGTAGTGATCTGCTTAAGTAGCGGCTATGGCCACGTAACACGAATGACGCACTTTGATTTCTCTTCTCATTCAGCAGAGGTGCAAAATAAATCAAAAGCAAGGCATTACTGAAGATGAACGAGCACTTTTGGCAACCAACTCTACCCTAACCGGCATTAGTCTCTGCACGTTCCGTAATGAGTCCTGAAGGAATCTGATTGCGGTGAACCACGGTGATGACATCTCATTATTATGACTAAGCAGCTGATTGCGATCTCTCCACTTTAATGAGCGACTGCGTTAAAGACCACCAGTTGGCGCGCCAAAACGACTCGCGCACATTGGGTCAAATGACAATTCGGGCAGCATTCGTATGACGCACTGGCAAAAGTTAAACTACCTATAACTGAAGGAATCTCAATTGATTTATGCCAATAATTATGCGAGGCGGATGCGCAACTAGTGAACTTGGGTGTGGCACGTAATATTGCTTGTTGTGGACTCTTTTTATACAGGCTGTTTTCGAACCGATAGAAAATTGCAGACCGCCCGTTCATTAAGCGGGTTCTAGCCCAACAATGCGTTTATTCAGCCGCCTGCTGTCGGAGCTTTGTCACTAACCATCGCTAGCGTTGCTGCCAAATACTTATTGACTACGTCAGTTTTTCAACTTAGAACTTTTCATCAGAATGCCTCCGAAAGGAAAGGGTAAGTGTAAGGTGGCTGCCGATCGATGTTTAAGCTCGTTTTCGAAACTAAGTCAGCAATCGATATGGCAAACAGGCCTTATACTCCATAAAGGTGTTTGTGTGTGTACATTGTTAACAATTGCTGTACTGCTGTTAGCTGTGTGTCCATGCGCCTGGCTGGGTGAGCCTATATCGATACAGATGGCCTGGGGCCGCTAGGGGACAACACGGCTAACTAAGTAAAAGATGGACTGTACGTGCTTAATACGAAAAATTGAGCGAGCCATATAAACAAGTTTGTTATTAATGTCAAACCTAACATTGTTGTACAGAAGTCATAAAATGTCAAACTGCTCTAACATGTTTATGTTGTATAAACAGTACCACATACTAGGTAGTGCCGGGTGATAGCTGCTGATTCATGTACAGTTGGCTACCCTGTTAATACAATTTTGCAGAGGCCAGTCTCCTTAATATAAAGCAGTTCTTTTCTGTCTCTAAAGAATTTTTGAATCTGATTTGTTATTTAGCGATCAGGATACCATCAACATTTAGTCTTAAGCATAAATTTAAAGAGGTAAGATGTATTTGATTACTAAGTCCGTCATGTTAAGAAATTACGTACTGTACTTAATGGTTTATTTATTTTCGCTTGGCTGTAACGGTACTTTTATACTGTAAAGTTGTACTGGTTAATTATTTTAAACATGGTAAATCTAATGTTCATGTCTTTTTTATCCGCTTTTAAACCGCTTCTTGTTCATAGGCCGCGGGGGAGGTGGTCATAAGGGTCAACCCCGACACTTCACTACCCCAGAGGAGGTTGCAGCCCAGCAGGAGAAAGAAGAAAAGGAGCGCCAGTGGAGACAACGAAGAAACGATGCCGGAGATGACGATGACGAAAGTGCATCTGGCTCCGAAAAAGAGTACGTAATACATGAAACAAAATAATCTAGCTATAATCGTTAATATGCGGGGAAATTACTTATCTGACCATTGCAGGGTTCAACACTTCATACTGCTTTCCGGGAAAGTAGTGATATGCTGCCTGTATTGTTTATTCTCTTATTAGTTATAAACAGGGTATATTTGCACTTATTTTTTGTCAACACAAATACTAGCGACACGAAAGGGCAATTTTCAAACCAATTAGGGGGGCGAATTCAAGTTCATATCGATTGCCACGTTTTTTTTTCATGGCACTGTTCCTCTAAACTGTTTCAACTCTATTCGCAATTTCTAGATAGCAAGCTAGAAGCCAATGCAGCGATTCATGCAAGAATACCTATCACATTAAAATATTCTACTTATTCCAATCGATAGAACTCAAGATGAGCTATTTTTTAAATTTCCCAATTTTTTGTGCTCGTAGCGATTCTGACATTGCATTACCGATCACCCCGTTAATCACCATTCCGTATTATACAATTTGTCAATCATATAATACGAGATCGGCTATGTAAGTTTTTACTTTGTTATATGAGGGCATGTTGTTATGTAAGTTTTAATAATATCCGGAGTCCCATCGCTACGAGCAATCCGCATCAGCTCTGTTTGAATACAAACCTTAAACGCATCGTTACGCCAAATATGACGGGTTATGGTGTATTGAAATTACTGGACTGCCAATTGAGTTCACAGATCAAATAAGTAAAGGATTCTCAGAAAAACTATGTCTATAGACTGATCGAACGGTTAATAGATATCATTGTAAATAATCGTGTCGCGATAAATATTAGAACCATAGTTTAGCAAATCACGTAATAAGGTTTAGCTCATCTGACTAGTGAAGCATCAAGGAGAGAACCATAGAAAAATATCTTCCAATATCAAACAATGTCAAAAAGACCTCGCATGTACAACATGAACGAATTAACAGTCAATAATTGAGTAATTATTCTTAAACAAATACATATTCATAGGAATGAAATTTGCTGTAATTATGACTTACTATCATATATAGCGTATAGTTAAAGACTTCGTATTTGCACGGTACAAATTAGTCTGCTAAAAACCTTAGATTGCAGAAAAGAGAAACGAGGATGTTTAGTTGTGAATAACTGCTTGTTGTTTTATCTATTATATATCTGTTTATTGGTATATGAATAACCTTTGGACTAGTGTAACTAGAATGAACTTTCAAGATGTATTGTTGTACTTATATATTTTTCACATTTGTCCCACAATTCCGGCAGCTTCTGGACAGCCATGGATTTGCGTTCGCATTCCTATATGTAACTTTTCCATCTATGGCATTAGTGACATAGTGAATTGATACTTTTTAGAGAACGGAAAGCCCCATAACACGAGCTTATATCAAGAGGACAATCGGATTGAAGCCAACTTTAGGTATTCCTTTGCTTAGCCTAGAAAGAAATTGAGGCATAGTGATGAGTTCCAACGTTATCATTAAGTAACCGGACTGGATCCTTCTGACTGTCCATGTCTTTCGCATGACTCGAGATAACGGGCTGCATTCATTGTTTCTTTTTCAGCCACTATCTTATAGTAGCAAATGCCCTCGATGTCCACTGCAAGCACTACAATAAGATTACATTCAAATTTTGTCCAAACTGCCAACGAACTCAATTTTTTTCTAAAGCTACTCCAGTCTCTCACCTGGTCCCTATCCGACTGGCGGTAGAGATTGAACCATATATCGTCTATGGCGACCGTATGTTCCAAGCGTGTTTTTTATTGAGTAAAGTTCTGAAAACTGCTCGTGGAATATATCTGGAAAAGCCGTTTTGATTGAGGCGATGCATTCGGGCAACTGAACCTGATTACCTCCTTACTGGACTTCAACAGTCCGATCACTATTAAATGTTTGGATCATTTGCTAAATGTAGATTTTCGAAATTAGAGGATGTTTTCCTTCCTGAACTCATTTCGCCTGAAAAAAAGTCCAAAAAAATTAAAGGGTTTACCAGTCAGATTTCTTCTAGTTCGACACAAAATTCAGAAATTATTAAATTTCAGAGTCAATCTAATACTAAGTAACAATCTAATACTTTCAAAGACTGATTACCTTATTAATATCGCGATACGTTCATTGCTACTACAGGGATTCCCTTCGCTCCCCGTATCTGAGTAATCCAATTATTTAAGTTATGAGATGGCCATTTTTATGCCAGTTTTCATCATCATGGCATATATACACCTGCAACCTTACTGTGTCGAGCGTCATCATCTTCTCACAATCATATTTTAGAGGCAAAAACATTCGCTCTGAAGTCGATTCGTCCGAAATTGTTGTTTGAATTATAATTCCCAATGGAACATTTGTTTATAACACGTTAACATCTACCTCGGTTGTTTTTGTATATTGTATCTTTTACAGTAGACGGATACGCATTTATAAAATGGGCGCGAAACGCTCAATAACTTAATTTGTCTTCTAGATATTCACCAGTTCATTAGATACTTTGAAATGTTTCCTTATGCACAGATCGTCAGAGGAATCTAGCGAGGAAGAAGAAGAAGAAACTAAGAAGAAGGGCGTTGAAGGTTTGATCGAGATCGACAACCCTAACCGAGTTGTCAGGAAAGTGAAGAAAGTATCGGCTGTTACGGATCAGGATCAGCCAGCTCAGCTCAGCCGCCGAGAGCGTGAGGAAATTGAAAAACAACGCAATAAGGCACATTACGAAAAGCTCCACGCTGCCGGTCTCACTGAACAGGTAAAGCGTTGCGAAATTCACATTTATGTAGCACGTAGGATGCCGTCGTTGTTTTGAGGCTCAAGCAATAATTACACAAGCCACTTAGCGAACCCGGGTTAACTATAGCGCAAAAAAATAGGTTTGCAGCGCCTGAGACTAGGAGGACGCATTTAGTTAGGTTTGGTAGACTTACAAGTTCTATCTCTTCTATCTTGGTACGAGGAATTTCTTACGTGCTGTTAGACGATTAGCTATGCTGCCCTTTGTTTTTATCTATCGCCGTCATCACCAACGCTTGACGTAAAAATTTACTTGTCTCTTGTCTAGGCTCGCGCTGACTTGGCTCGCTTGGCGATCATACGAAAACAGCGGGAAGAGCAGGCACGCAAGAAAGCTGAAGAAAAACGACTCGCCGAGGCAAAAGCTGCCGCAGCGGGCAAAAAGTAGGATTGCGGTTCTCAGTTCTCAGCATATAGACACAAATCACCATCTTAGAGAAGGAAGGAGTATCGCGGCGATGAGGGATGGCGGAAGGAGTATGAAAACACGAGTTTCCGGCAAATACAAAAAGCGTCGAGGGGGGAAATCGAATACACGATTTCGATAAAATGTCATACGCACTAACACTTCATCGATTTCATATAATCATTTTTCTTTCTCGGCGCTTCCTGCACTTCCCAAAACATAGCACTGGGAACTCGTGTTTTCATACTCCTTCCGCCACCCCTCATCGTCGCGATACTCCTTCCTTTTCTATGATGGGAT